ACCGTTCCACCCACCCACCTTCCCTTCTCTTGCAGCCCCATCTCCATCCCCATGCCTCTCCTCTCCTCTCCCTCCTCCCTCACCTCCCTCCCACCTTCCCAAATTTGAACGTTGCTCGGAGAGACCGACAAACCCTCCGCACCGCCTTCTCCTCCCCCCCACCTCCCAACACCCGCACCTCCCCCAATACCCTCACATGCACACACCCACACACCACCCACACACACACACACAGAGAGAGAGTGTGTGTGTGGTTCGTGACAATGGGAAGGAAAGGCATCCAATCTCGCTGCCTTTCCCCACTACCGACGTTGGCGGCAGAGTGGGCGCGTCAGAGAGGGCAAAGAGGAGGGTGCAAGGAGAGGGGGGGGGGGGTATGGGGTCAACACCCTCCTACGTCCTCTTTAACCCTCCCCTGCCACCCTCACCCCCTCATGAGGCATTATTATTGTACATATAACATACAGTGTGTGGTCTGTGCAAGCTCCTTCATCTCCTTCTTCTTCAGCTTGCGCACCTTGGACGACCGTCCCCCCATCGTCTGCTTGGCCCCTCCACTGGCAATGCAAGCCAAGTGTCGTCCCACGCCCGCTATCACACTCCAATCACACCCTCCTGCCTGCCTATGGCCATCCGATGTCATCATATCGAGGCAAACACTGGCTCACAGCCAGCGCATGGTACGTCTTTAAGGCCAACAGACGACCTCATGCCTCGTGCTCAAACCACTCGGATCGGCTTACTGGTCGGGTTCGGGGGTTTCATCTCGCACACCTCTGGCAGCTCTGGGTGGCGATGAAGATCTTGACCATGGCATCGGTCACGATGACAGTCGCCATGGGAGCATACAGCAAGAGCATTGGATGCTCCATGGAACAGGGCTGCATGAAGCAGGTGAGGGTATCAGGTTGCACCGTTCCTGGTCTCCGCCGTTGTTGCTGTGGTCCTCGCCGGCCGCTCTTGCACGCCGTGGAGATGGTGGACGTGAGAACAACTGGAGTTTGGGTCATCCATCATGAGCTCTGTCTTTCTGATCTGATCTGATCCTTCCTTGCCCTCCGATTCTGCCCGTCTCCCCCGCCTCCAGCTCGTCCATCGTGTCTTTGGCCGGAAGGCGCACCGTCGCTCTTTTCCGCTCGTCGCGCCCTTTTGGCCACCACAGCCCGCCAGCCCGCCGCGACGCCGGTGAGCATGGCATGTATGACACACTCCTCACTAGCACGGTAAGCCCACCACATACCCCATGCACCCACAACATTACATTGTGTCTGCTCTCCCCAACCACTCCCCCTCTCCACCCTCTCCCTCCTTAGCAAGGAGAGAGAGTGTGTGTAGCGGGTGGTGGTGGTGGTGGTGGTAGAAACTGTGTTTCCACGGTCTTTCTGTCAGCGACCTGCCACGGAAGCGGGTAGGGAGGGGGGAGGGGGGGGATACTCACAATACATATATGGTATGGGTGTATGGATGTGGGTGGGTATGGGTGTATGGATGTTGTAGGTCTTACACAAATGGCCAAGGCACGTCCGAACAAGGGTGCGAGCAAGGTCGAGGCGGGGTCGGCAGAGGGTGGACGGCCGGCTGGGAGCGGTGGCAAGGGACAGAAGGGCGAGCGGAATGGGAGCAAGGACGATGGATCGGGGAAGGGTGCTGCAAAGGCTTCGCCCAAGCCGTCGCCAAACTCATCCGGTCGGTCGTCGCCGGTGGGTGGCCGGTCGGCGGCGCCGGCGGCGCGGAGCAAGGGCGGGCGCGGCAAGGGCGGCAACAGATCGCGGGCGAGTAAGGCAGGCGGTGGCGGCGGCAGCGGAAAGGGCGGGTCGGGTAAGGTTGTCAAGGCGCTCATGTCGCGGACCGCCATTGGGTGCGCGCTGAAGGAGGTGCTCGACACGGTGGAGATCGGAGCTGATGGCGTGACTACGGCCCAGCTTCTTAGCAGAGTGCCGGCCGATGTCCGCGCGAGCATCGACGTGCTCAAGGGCGGCATCGCCGAAGCGCTCACATTTCCGCAATTTGCCCAGTTCTACACTCTGGAAAGCGCGACCGGGCTCTTTTGCGTGCCGGACGAGGAGGCGGCGCTGGCGCACGTGTACAAGGCGATGGCGACGCACCCGGACGGGACAACGCTCGCCATCCTCGGTTCGAGCCTCTCGCCGCTTGCCCGCGAGTACTTTCGCGGGCACGGCGGGCTCAAGTTCTTTGTCTTTGACCTCTACCCGTTTGCGTTTACTGCCGACGGCAAGAAGCAGGACTCGCGGACGATGCTCAAGCCGACCGGCGTGACGACGCCGCCAGCCGACTTTGTCCGGCCGGCGGTGCGGGCGCGCAAGAAGCGGGCAGCGGGCAAGGGCGCAGCCACGTCGTCGGCCCGGGGCCAGAACGAGACCCAGGGCGAGGCCAAGGACAAGCCAGAGGCCCAGCCCCAGGCCCAGCCCCAGGCCCAGCCCCAGACTCAGCCCCAGGCCCAGCCCCAGGCCCAGCCCCAGCCCCAGGCCCAGCCCCAGGCCCAGGCCCAGGCCCAGGCCCAGGCGTATGACAACCGCGCCGCTACACAACCGGGCCAAGGCTTTGCCGGCCACCCCGGGGCGCAGCAAGGATTTCGGCCGCCGATGACACCGGCGCAGCAGCAGGAGAGCCAGCGGGCACAGGCCGAGGCGCAGGCGCGGATGCATCATATGCAGCAAGCGCAGGCGCAGGCGCAGGCGCACCAGGCACGACAGGGCGGCGGCCCGCGGTTCACCCCAGCCCCGCACCCGCACGCGGCGCAGATGGTGGCGGCGCAGCAGGCGCAGTACGTGGCGCAGATGCAGGCGCAGGCACAACGGCAGGCGCAGATGCAGGCGCAGGCACACGCTGCAGCAGCAGCACAGGCACGTGCGGAGAAGCAGACGATTCCGGCCATGCCGATGCTCCCGGGCGTCTCGATGGGCGAGATGGCCGGTATGGCCGACCTGCGCAACGCCACCACGCTCCGCGAGTACATTGTCCGCTTTCTCACCGAGTTTGGGCGGGTCCAGCTCAACGACCTGTACTTCCGGCTCTCACCCGAGTTCCACGCGCAGCTCCGGCAGTACCACAATGGGCGGCTCATCGACTTTCTCAATGCCCACTCGCAGATCTTCACCGTTGACCCCCGTCGTCGTCGGTCTGCCTCGCCGACATGTCCGAGACCATTGCCCGGTCGCAGGCGCACGCCAACGAGCTCGAGGCCAAGCTGCAGGCAGCCGAGGCCAAAATCAAGGCGCTCTCGGCCGAGACCGAGGCCCAGATTGCGGCGCTCGAGGCCGAGTCGACCACGCTCCGCGGCAGCGTCTCGGCATGGCTCGAGTTTTGGCAAACCACAGTGAGCAACGTGCCGCTGCCGGCGCCCGGCGCCGCGCCGTCACCGCCAGCCCAGTCGGAGGACGACTTTGTGTCGGCCGCCGCCGCCGCCGCCTTTGGCTCGTCGTCGGGCAAGCCGCTGCCGTCGTTCTTCAACGAAATGGAGTAACAGAGATCGCGTGAGGAGCGAGTGCGTTTACGGCTGCCGCTCTCAGAGCTCAGAGCTTGGACGGCAGCGAATAGCCCGGCGGTGGGGTGTAGCCCGACGGCGCCTTGATGGCGCCGACCTCGATGAACCAGGCGACGGCGTCGCGGAACGCGTCCTTGGTCGGCTTGAAGACCACGCCGAGTTCGCGCTCGGCCTTGGAATGGTCGGCCCACTTGCCGCAGTTGAGCAGGCGGATCGAGTTCTCGTTGAACCGCGGGAGCACGTCCGGGAAGAAGGTGCGCTCGATCCAGTCCTTTGCGCGCACAAACGGGATCATGACCGAGCCCGGAACGCAGAGCCACGGCGCAGGCCTGCCGGTAAACTCGGCCAGCCACTCAAAGACGGTCTTCATCGCCACCCACTCGCCCGTCAGCAGGTACCGCTCGCCGGTCTTGCCGCGCTCCATCGCCGCCAGGCACCCGTCGACGACCGAGTCGACGTGGACAAAGTCAAAGCCGCCCGTCGGGTACGCTCGAATGTTGCCCGCGGCAAACTCGAGAATAGACTGCCCGGTGAGCGACGGCTTGTAGTCGTGCCCGCCGATGATGCCCGACGGGTTGACCACCACCACGTCGAGGCCCTGGGCAGCAATCCGCAAGACCTCGCCCTCAGCAAAGCCCTTGGAGACCTCGTAGTCGGTCGTCTCTTCGTACGGTGAGAAAGTTGACGCCTCAGTGCACGGCGCAGGGGCCACGTTGCGGACGGCTCCAAACGAGGAGCAGTAGACCACCCGCTTCACTCCCGCCGCCAGGCACGCCTGCATCAGCCGTTTCGAGCCTTCGATGTTGACGTCAAACAAGTTCTTCCGATCGCCATGCCGGATGGAGACAAATGCCGCAAGATGGTACACGTAGTCGACACCAGCAACGGCTGCCTCCACCGCAGCATCGTCCCGCAGATCAGCCTCGACAAGCTCCACCCCGAGCCCTTCCAGCGCCTGGTTGTTTGAGCCGGAGCGAATGATGCACCGGACCTGCCCCCCCCCCCCCCCCCCCCCGACCCAGCGACACATCCATCGATTGGTATGGCTTGGTATGTGAGATCCACAGCATTGCCCATCATCGCCTTGATGACCTCTGTCTCACCCTGCTGTATGGCCATGCCATGCCACGCCTCCGATCCCCGGGCTCCACTCTTGCCCGTCCCCTGCACGTACCCGCTCCTGTCCACGGGCAAGCAGCGCCCGAACCAGGTTACCTCCAAGGTGTCCTGCACCTCCTGTGACTAGTGTGATGGGCTGTGCCGCCATGTTTGCCAGCAAAGGTGGTGAGGTGGTGCGGTGGTGCGGTGTCTGCCCTCGCCAGTGGCTGGGCCCATTTACCTTTGCTTTGTTCAGTGCGAGTCCGCCAGCTCTGATCGTCACCACGCCACAGGCATGGGCTCGTGGATCGACAACGATCGATGCACACCATTGCATGTGTGTGTATGTATATATATATATATATATATATGTGTGTGTGTGTGCGTGTGTGTGTGTGTGTATGTGTGTGTGTGTGTGTGTGTACAGCGGTTGGAATGATCATCTTGGCCATTGTAGCCCACGGCCACGATACCAAAGAGGCACAGCGTAGTCCTTGCGATGGCATGAGATACCCGATGCCGGTGGCGTGGGTGGATGGAGGTTAGCTAAAGAGAGTGATAGTGAAAGCTCGTTGCGTGCGGGCGCGAGGCCAGGCCAGCGGGCGGCACACCAATTAGCATCGGCGACTACTGCAGAATGAATGAAATGGGAGGTGCTGGCCACACGTGTCGTCGTCAGCCCCCACCATGTCATTCACAGAGCTGTTTGTACGTACATGCATGCCCCATGCCCCTCCACCCTCCCAACCCCCCACTATGTAGTCTATCCAACTCCCCTATCATGGTCATCCATCCATACATGTATTGAGTATACCCATGGCGGTCCACTCGGGTGTGCCGTGGCCTGGCGCTGGCCTGAATGGTGACGATTTTTGCCACTCCGTGAGGCGTCGGCGAAGGGGAGGAGGAGGGGGCACACACAGGACAGCTGTGCGGGTTGGCAGACAGCTGGCAAGGTGCAATCGAGTGTGGGGAATGTTGGTAGGGCGGGGGTGGTGAGGGGCTTGTTCGGAGCTCTCTACGTGGACTTATGGAAGTGTGGGCGGAACTGGTGGTATGGGCCGTGGGCCGACCGGCGGGCGGTGGTGGTGGTGGTGGTCTTCTCGTGGTGACGGGCTGATGATGTGGCTGGGGATGATGGTGGGTGGGGGGATAGGACAAGTTTGACGAGGTAGCGGCGAGGACGGACGATGGCCTCAACACGCTCAAGGTCGCTTCCAAGTTTATCAAGAAGCTCTCGGGCCTGATGGAGGACTACGGCAAGGGCCTGTCCAAGCTGACCAAGAGCGCGCTCAAGGACCTGCGCAAGTCCAACGAGGAGGGCTCAAACCGTGATGCCTTTGAGGCTGTGCTCCGAGAGTCTGAGGTCATTGCGGTCAACTACACGGCGGCTTCGGGCGAGCTGTCGACGGCGGTACTCGACCCGCTCAACGCGTATCTCAAGATGAAGGAGAAGGAGCGCAAGACCATTGTGTCCGAGGGCCAGCACATGATCAAGGACCTGCAGTCTGCGTACTCGAACCTGTCCAAGCTCCGGTCGTCGGCACACAAGGCGTCCGATTCTGCACAGAAGGCACAGGAGACGTACGCCAAGGCCGACTCGGACCCGGGCGCCAACCCTGCGGCGGTGATGAAGGCGTCGAGCAAGGCCGAGTCGGCGCTAGCCAAGGCCGAGGCTGCCGACGCTGTGTATGCCGAAGGTGTGACGACGACCAACGCGCTGCAGGTCGACTTTTACGACAACCTCTTCCCGCGCGTCCTGACCTCGATGGAGGATCTCGACCGCGACCGCATCGAGCAGCTGCGGTCGACCATGGCGTCTCTCGTCACGACCCAGCGCGAGCTGCTGCCGCGGACGGAGAACTCGCTGGCGACGATGGCCGACGCCGTCGACGCCATCGACACCTCGGGCGACATTGCCATGTTTGTCAACAAGGAGGTCTCGGGCGCCTCACACCCGTCGTCGCTGCCGTACGAGGCGCCGGCGTTCCTGTCCTCGCTCGGCAAGGCGTCGTCGGTGTCGGCGTCGCCGGCGCCTTCAGGCGGCTCGATGTCGGCCAGGCCCCCTGCGCCGCGCCCGACCTCCACCGTTGCCGGTCCCGGGCCGACCCGCGGCAAGGACGTGGCCTCGATGTCGCCCCAGGAGCTCGAGGACCGTCTCGCTGCCATTGACGCCGAGGTCTCGGCCGAGGTCAAGACCAAGAAGGGTATCGCCACTCTCGTCGACTGCTACGAGCCGGGCTCCGCCGCCAAGCTCGAGGTCGAGCAGCAGATCCGCGACTGTGAGGCCAAGATCGAGACGCTCAACAACGAAAAGGTCGAGATCGAGGCTGCCCTCGGCGTCACCTCGGGCTACGCCGACGGCGGCATGGGCGCCTATGACGACTACGGCGGTGACGAGCAGCCCGAAGTCCATGCCACTGCCCTCTACGACTATGAAGCCCAGGGTGACGGCGAGCTCTCCTTTGCCGAAGGCGACGTCCTCCGCGTCCTCCTCCAGGACGACTCGGGCTGGTGGGAGGCCGAGCTCAACGGCGTTATCGGCGTCGTGCCGTCCAACTACCTCCAGGCCTGAGTTTTCATCGTGTGCCAATTGAACGTGTTGCCTACTTGCAGTTGCCGGCGCCCGCAGAGGTTGGGCGAAGCGCTTGCCGGCCACCACTCGACTCACCCGTGCGCTCAGCCATGCTACTCAGCCGACAACTTGTGGGACGACGGTGGTGGTCCAGGCGCTGCGGACGGGTGCTGACAGAGGCGCTGGCTAGGTGTGAAGAGCTTCTACGGCCGCAGGTAGCGGGCGGCCGGGCGGCAGGGACTCGGGCTGGGGCCGGGGCCGGGGCTGAGAGCCGTGCGCTGCATCCGCCGCGGCCGCCGCCAGCGCTGTCACCGCCGCCTTCGGGGGCACCGCCGCCGCCGCCGCCGCCGGGCGGGCGGTCGTGGGGCGATGTCATCACCATGCACGCACCAGACTTTGGCGTCATTGTCCTTGCAGGAACGGCGCTGTCGCTGGCCATCCGCAGCGCGGTGGTGGCGCGGTCGACCGAGGAGATCCAGCGCAACGCGGCGGCGGCAGGCGAAGAGGCTGCCAAGGCCATTGCTCTCGAGTCGCGCATCGTCGACGCGCTGGAAGCTGCTGTTGATGCTGGTCTGGCCCCGGCTCAGCTCACCGGCCTGGCTGCTCAGGCCTGGGCCTCGCATCACAGGGCCGATGCGCCTGATGACGCGCCCGTCCTCCCTCAAGCGCCTCGCCCGCCGCGGGTCATCTGGTAACGGCCTACGCACACGAGGGTGCGCCCTCTGACGATGAGGACTAGGTGAGAGTGGACGAGGGAGCAAGATCGGAGCTGATCGCCGCCGAGGGGGGGGGGGGAGGAGGAGGAAGAAGTTCCTCCTGCGGAGCAATGAACACGCGCTTGTGGGTGATCTCCGCTACAGCGGGATCAAGCGACCATGTCGAGCAGGCATTTGTTGCGCGCACGCGAGAGAGAGAGAGAGAGAGGTACGTGTGCGGGTTTGTACGTGTGTCATCGCTGCATCAGCCTGTGATTGTGTCCGGCTCTGGAGCCGTAGCCTGGCTCTGGCCCCTGCCTCGGGCACGGCCACCTGACTCTGTAGCGAGCAGAGTTGAAAGATGGCCACAGACGGAGCATGCGACAGAGCGAGAGCGGTAGTTCTCGAGGCGCCATGCAAGACGACTAAGGCTGGAATCGCGGCGCTGGAGCACGGTGTGTGGCCCAAGGGCGAGGCCGAGCTGCGCGGGTGGGAGGTCCGGATCTGCATGCATGCGGCGGCGCTCAACTTTTTCGACAACCTCTTCCTCACCAACTCGTATCAGATGCCGACGCCATCGCCGTTTGTGCCGGGGCCGAGGGTGCCGGTGTTGTGGTCGAGATCGGTGACGAGGTCCGCAATGTGGCTGTCGGCGATCGGGTCATGCTTGCCATGGGCGTCCAGGGCACGCTCGCCACCCTAGTGGTGGCGCCGGCTGCGGTGTGCATCCCGATTCCGGCGAGAATGGACATGGTCTCAGCGGCGGGTCTCGGTGTCGGCTTCCTCACAGCTTACCACGGCCTGGTGCATCGCGGCGGCCTGGCCAAGGACGAGACACTTCTGGTCACCGGGGCGTCGGGCGGCATGGGCGCGGCCGCCATCCAGGTCGGCCTGGCGGTCGGCGCGCATGTCATCGCGGCAGCGTCGTCGATGGAAAAGGCCGAGGCTGTACTGGAGCTGGGAGCGCACGCCGCCGTCAGCTACGGAAGCGACCAAGCGTCGCGCCGCGGGCTGAAGGATGCGGTCAAGGACGCCAATGATGGCCAGCTGGCAGACGTTGTGTACGATGTGGTTGGCGGCGAGGTTGCCCATGCCTCGCTCCGCTGCCTTTGCCCTGAGGGCCGGTTCTTGGTCGTCGGCTTTGCATCCGGCGACATTCCGGCCTTCAAGGCCAACCTCTTGCTGGTCAAGGGCGTGTCGGCGGTCGGCGTCCGCGCCGGCGCATCTATGGCACTCCATCCGGATCTTGCGGCTGACATGATCTCCACCATGTCCGCCTGGGCCGATGCCGGCAAGATCTCGCCACTCGTGGGTGGTCTCTACGACTTTGACGACATCACTGCGGTCCGAACTGGCTTTACCCGCCTGGCCGCCGGCCAAGCCCGCGGCAAGCTTGTCATCGTCATGCCGTCTGCCGAGGCCAGCACCCAATCGCGTCTGTAGGCAGTGCAGGTTAAAGACCAAGTACCGGCGCATGCGTTATTTGGCTCAGATGCGTCGCGATGTGCGCATGGCGACCATTCCGCCTGGTAGTGCGACTTGGGCGGCTTGAGCGGACCAGCAAGCAGCGAGCCGACGAGCGGCACGACTATGGCGGAGGGAGACGGACCGAGAGCGACGTCAACCGCAACGAGCAGCCACCCCACTCCAGGCGAGCCAGAGCAGAGCGTATGTCTGACGAGGAGGCCATGGCGCGTGTGGCTGCTGCGCGGCGGCGGCGTGAGCTGCTGGCCACAGCACCGCTCTCTGCTGGCAGCCGAGGCGAAGGCGGAGGCGGCGGCGGGCAAGGTGATGATGGCGACGATGATGATGATGGCTGGTTGGCGCGGGTGCGAGCCAAGGCTGCCGAGGTGGGCGGGGATGGGGGGGTCGAAAGTGGCTCGGGTCGCAGGAAGAGGAGAAAGCGGCGAAGGGCTCAGGCTGGAGATGGCGGAGAGGGACACGCTCTCCCGGTGGTCGCACACGCGCTGGGGGATTTGGCGGTCGGGCAAGACGTTGTGCTCACGCTAAAGGACGTCGACGTGAGGCATGCTGGGGAAGAGCCGGTGCTCGAGTCGCTTGCCATGGCAGAGGAGCAGCGGCTGAAGAAGGCGGCTGCGGCGCGGATCTCGGGCAAGTACAACCCGCATCTGGCGGCTGCAGGCTCGGTCCTCGCCAAGTACGACACGGTTGACGACGATGACGACGACGGGCCCGGTTTCTCGGTCGCGTCTGTTCAGGCTCAGTTTCAGAGGGCGCAAGCCGATGCGGCCCGGGCTGAGGCTGCGCTCGACGCGGTGAGCGCCGGTGGGGCGCTGGCTAGCAGCAGTTCGGCGGCGATGCAGTACTCGCTCGAGTCGGAGAAGAAGAGCGTGGCGAGCTCGTTCCGGAGCCGGAAGCGCGGAAAGAAAGCCAAGAAGGAGAAGAAGGCCAAGCGGCGGCGGCGCAAGCACGGGCTGGTGACCGAGGCCGACAAGCTGGCTGCTGCCGGGCAGGGAGCGGGTCTGGCAGCGTCGTTGCCGGAGGGCTTTGAGCTTGCACCGCGAGGAGCGGTTGCCGTCATCGACGACGATGAGGACGAGGATGATGCAGCAGAGGCCATCCTCGCGAGCTCAATGCTGGAAGCGCGGATGGCGGCCCTGGCGGCGGCGGCCGCCGCGCCGGGTGCGAGCGTCGGTGGCAGCGACGCCGTTGTCCGTGCCGTCGTCGCTGACAACAAAGCCAAGGCCGGAATGGAGGTGAGCGAGCCCGATCCGGACGCAGTCATCTTTGACGAGACGGCCGAGTTTGTTCAGCGCGTCAAGGCCTCACTGGAAGAGGAGAAGGCGCAGCAGAATGAGGAGAGGACCAGCGTGGGCGAGGCGGAGACCAAGCCGGTTGTGGCAGCTACCGTAGCTGCACCAGCCGTAGAGCCAGTGGCTGTAGCTGCGGCTGCAGCTCCACTGACTGCGCCGGCCGCGATGGATGTTGTTGATGCCGCTGCCGAGCAGGACGAGGCACAGGGCACGCAGTTGGCGGCGGGCCGACAGGGCGGGCTGGCTGCGACGCTGCAGCGACTGAGGGCGCGGGGTACGCTCAACCAGGACATGGCCAAGATGGGACGGGCCAACGACGAGGTGGTGGATGTTGGAACCGGCAGCGTGGGTGCCAGCCTGTACAAGGATGCCGAGACCGGGCGGGCCAAGACGCAGAAGCAGCTCTATCGCGAGATCTCTGTGGCGTTTTCGGGCATCCAGCCGTCGCTGCGGTCGCGTGAGAAGCAGCTTAACCACGAGCTGGATGTGGCGTTTGAGCGAGCGGTGGGCATGGCGGCGGTGCAGGCCAACTCGTCCAAGCTGCGCTTCTCGCTCAACGACCCGTCGCTCCGGATCGGAGCTGCACCGATTCTTGCGCCCGCGGACAAACCCGCCGAAGAGGCTACCGCGCCTGTTGCGGCGCCGCTTGCGCGTGAGCGCCGCGAGACTGTTTCTGTCAACCTTGCAGCCCCGGCAGCGGCGTCGTCGTCGCGGAAGCGCCGCCGCGGGCTAGCCACAACAGCAACATCGTCGATCGCATCGTCAGCGGCGCCGCCACCAGGCCCCGACGACGGAGGCGATGCGCGGGCAAAGAAGCGGGCGCGGCAGCGTTGAGTCGACACGGGTAAACCGACAGAGTTGGGAGGCACGGCCCGGGTTCGATCGAACCGACGACGACGTCGAGGGCGGGGACGAGGCTTGGCCACACCTCTCTTAACAAGAAGTGACACAGTCCTCGGAGCGCCATTCACTTGGGGCTCCGGCCGCCCATGCCCTCTGTGCACGACCTCTCGTGGTGCAGAGGGGGTATGGGCTGCTCCCACAGGCAGGCGCGGCTCGAGCGAGTCCGGGCGTGGCCTGGGTGTATGGGATGGATGGCGGGATTCCGAGATGGATGCGGACTTTTCTTTGCGCTGGCCTGCCACAGGGCTTGGCGGGCTGCGCTGGGGCGCAGACGACAAGAAGCGACTTGCGGCAGCGAACGACAGCAGGGAATGCAGTTGGCAACACAAGCAGGCATTGGCGCGTGTTGTACACAGCGTCAAGGCGGCTTGCGGGTGCTTTGGAAATGTAGGTAAGGGATTTGTTTGTGTGGTTTTCTCCCGCCCGCCTTTTCTCCCCCCTTCCCCTCCCCACCCCCCTCCTTCCCCCTTCCTTCCCCATACGCATCATTTTGCGGATCAGTTCCAAGAGCGACGCTACGGTGTTGCAGCCGGTTGCTCTTGATGGACTCGGTCCTCCTGAGTGGTGCCAGATTGATTTGCCCGGTTTTAAGTTTGACGTTGTTTGCGAAAAAGACGTAGCAGCGATAGAGTCCGAGGCAACACTTTGCATTATCTCCCCCCTCCTCCCCCACTTCCTGCCCTTGGTGTGACGAACTACTCATGTGCTGTGATGCGATGTACCAGACGGCGTTAGGCAAAGTGGTCGCGAAGGACGGCGACGACGCGATCCTCGTCCTCCATGTGGATCGAGTGTGACGCGCCGTCGAGTACGACGACAGCCGCGGATGGGGCCCAAGAGACGATGAGGCGCTGGCACTCGGGGATGTCCATGACGTAGTCTGCGCCGGCGAGAACGACGGTGGTCTTGATACCTGCAGCTTGGAGAGCACGGTACGGGGCTGCTGCGCCGGACATCGGGTAGTGACACATGGTGTTGTGGAAGGCCATGACCCAGCCGGGCTTCTCGGCGATGCACCACTCCATGCGCTCGACGATGGCGTCGATGAGCTCGGGCATGTCATCGGCAGCGTTAAAATCGTCTCTGCAGCGCTTCTTGTGCAGGTTGTCGAGGAGGAGGGCGCGGCCGGCGAGCGACATGACGGCCCAGCCGAGGAACGGTAGTGTGAGCAGCTTGCCGAGGAACGGGATGTTCGTGGCGACGCCTGCAGGGGTGAGCAGGACGACCGAGGCGACGACGTCGGTGTGCGCAGCAGCAAAGTGCGCGGCGTTGCCACCGCCGAGAGAGTGGCCGATGACATGCACCGGTTTTCCCCAGGCGCCGATAGCCTCGAGCAGCTCGCGGGCCTGGTCTGCAAACAGCTCGGGTGTGTAGTTGACGTCGTCCGGCGTGGCAGAGCGACCACGGCCATAACCATCAAACACCACCACAGTGGCGCCCGGGACAAGGTCGGCAGCCACAGGGGCGAGGCCGTCGAACGAGAACGAGAACCACGAGACGCCATGGAAGAAGATGACGATCGAGTCTGCCGAGGCGAGCGGGTGGCCGGAAGTCTGCATAGTTGCGGCTCGATTGGTAGCCAAGTCCGCGACGAGCATCGGTAGCGGCATTGGTAGCGGCATTGGTAGCGGGCATAGGCATAGGTGTCGGCATAGGCGTCGATCACAAGCATAAGGCGTGGGTCGCGGGCGTAGGCGACGATCGCGGGTGTAGGCGCCGATCGCAGGTGTAGTCACATCCCCCACATAGCATGCGCTCGATGAGTCGCCCGCCCAGCTCATTCCCACCTCCTCTTCCTCCCCTCACCTTCCTCTGCGGTCCGTACACGGTACCAGGTCGACCCGTGCGACAGCTCCACCATGGCGCCGCCCTCGAGCGACTCGGGCTCCCACCGTGGCAGCGACAACGAAGTCATCCCTACTACGGACTTGGTGTCGGGTGGGAGAGTGTGGGTGGCGTGGGCGTGCTGGCGTCGGTGCTAGCGTCGGTGTTGGCGGCGGGTTGGCGGAGAGCCGGCGAACAGCTGGTGTGCCGGGGGGGCGTTGGGCAGACGGCAGACGGCAGACTACGTTGTTATTCACGTCTCACCGCAATCACACCACTTGTGGCAGTCATTCACGCCGTGGCATCGTCGTCATCGGCAGAGACCGAGGCGGTCTCGATGGAGTTGTTGGCCGTCGAGTTGGTGGTCGAGGCCGCGGCGGAACCCATGGGACGCCGTCTCCGCTTGCGGATGCGCCGCCGCTTCCTGGAAAAGCCGCCCTTGCGCGAGAGGTCGCGGATGGTGGCGTCGAGGTCACCCTGGGTCCCGGGCACGACGATTTTGGTGATGTTTGTAGCGCCGCCGCGGAGGACAAGCTTGCGCAGCTGGCGCATCTCGGCGCGGAGCCGGGTGTTCTCGGCTTCGAGCGCTGCCGTCCGTGCTTTGTACGCCGCAAACTCGAGCATCAGGTCCTGGGTAGCGGCGATGGTGGCAGCATGGCCGGTCGGCTTCTTGCGCGGCGGCGACCGGGCAAGGCCGTGCTTGCGCAGCCCGGCCTCGACAATGGCTGCCACTGCGAGGTTGGTTGCCAGCGCAGTGTCGTATGCTGTCCGGCCCGACACGGTGGTCTTGGAGAGATCGGCACCGGCGGCGATGAGGAACTTGACGAGCGGGCCGGCTTGAGCCGAAACAGCAAGTAGCAGCGGCCACGCGCCGTCCGACGAGGCCGTGGCATCGACGTCGGCGCCGGCGTCGAGCAGAACGGCGGCGGTGGCGGCTGATGTGTCGGAGTCGACATCGAGCGGCACGTCGAGCGCGGCGTGGGAACGCGGCGCGTGGACCGCGACATGGTGCAGCGGGGTGTAGCCGGCAGCGTCGCGGGTGGTGGCGTCGCCGCCGGCAGCAATCGCAAAGCGCAGCTTCTCGACGTCGCCGGCAGCGGCTAGGGCGGCGACGGGGGTGAGGCCAGCGACGTCACCAACGTTGAGCGTGTCGGGCGCGTTGAGGACGAGAAAGCGGAAGGTGTCCAGCGAGTTGAGGGCGCGAGCGAGCGGGGTCTGGCCAGCGTGGTTGAGGGCGGCGAGATCGGCGCGGCCCGAGGCGCCGAGCAGCGCGAGATACGCCATGTTGTTCATGTACGCCGCGATATGCGCGGGCGTGTTTCCGTCGCCGTCGCGAACATCGACGTCGGTGTAGGCCTCGAGCAGGAGCTCGACGCGGGCGTCCTCGCCGCGAACAATGGCGCGGTGCAAAAAGGTGGCGCCGCCGGTGGCCTTGGCCTCGGCAGCGCGCTCGGCCGGTGTTCCGTTGAGCGTCGCGCCGCGGGCAAGGAGCCAAGCGGTCGCCGAGTCGTGGCCGTGCGAGATGGCGAGAAAGAGCGGTGAGAGGCCGGCTTTGGAGGTGGCCGTCAGGAGCGGCGCGACGTCGGCGGCCGACTCGAGCGCGTTCAGCCGCGCCACCGATCCATGCCGCGCTGCCTTGAGGAACAGCAGCGTCCGCCGCTGATCGTCGGTCATCATCGACTTTGTCCGGCGCTTGCGGCGCGAGCCGGCCTTGCGGGCGGCGAGCGAACCCGGCTCGGGCGCCGGCGCGTCGGATGTCTGGGTGGGAGCCGCATCGGCCGACGGTGGCAGCAAGTCCCCGGCACATGCATCTGCGGCGCGCTGGAGGACGCCCGCACGGGCAGAGCTGGGATCGAGGTGGTTGGCACTTGCAAGTTCGGACGCCAGGAACGCGTGGTCTCTGATGGGGGCAGCGTGATCGAGGAGGGCGTGAGCGGCGGCGTGAGCGTCCGAGCGAAGCGCAACGTCGAGTGGGGTGAGACCAGTTGTGGACTCGAGCTCGAGGGCGGCGCCGTGCGAGATGAGAAGGGCAGTAAAGTCGGGATGGTTCTCATGGGCGGCGACGTGGAGCGCCGACCAGCCGTCGACGTTGGCGGTGTCGATGGCGACGCCGCGGCGGAGCAGGACCTTACCGACTTGGACATGCCCACCAAGTGCGGCCTTGTGCAGCGCTGAAGCATGCGTGTCTGTGAGGGCGTTGACGTCGGCGCCGGCGTCGAGAAGCTTAGCGCAGATGGCGACAAAGCCCTTGGAGGCTGCAACGGCGAGAGGGGTAGTACCGTGCTCAGTCCGGGCGTCGATGTCGAGCGAGACCTCGGCCGAGGAGGCAAGGCCAATCTTGAGCAGGGTATCGACAACCTTGTCGGCACCGGTGTTGGCAGCCACATGGAGGAGCGTCCATTCGGCGGCATTGCGCTGAGCGATGGTCGACGGCGACGACGCGAGGAGCATGCCGAGAAAGGCGGCGTGGCCCTCCTCGGCGGCAAAGAACGCCGGAGTAGCGCCGTCCGAGACAGCAGCCGCGACCGGCGCGCCGCGTGAGAGCAGCGAGTGGCCGAGCTCAACCGAGCCGGCGTACGCGGCGTAGTGCAGTGGGGTGATGCCATCGGCGTCAGGAAGGGCCACGTTGGTGTCTGGACACGAGAGAATGACAAGGGCGAGGTCGATCATGCCACGGCCGATGGCCTCAGAAAGCGGCGGGATGCCGTCGGCGTTGGGCGCGTTCGGGTCGGCGCCGCCGGCAAGAAGGAGCTCGGCGAGCTCGGGCTTGCCCTGCGGCTGTGTGGATGAGAGAGTGAAGCACTTGGTCCACAGCGGCCCGGCGTCGCCGACAACGCGAGCCGAACGCAAAATGAGCGCCTCTGCGCAAGGGAATTGATGCGATGCGATAGCGACGTAGAGCGGCGAGTGCGAGTCATCATTGAGCGCATTAATGTCTGCCCCAGCATCAAGTAGCAAGTTGACGACTTCGGCCGGGCCGTGATAGGCAGCCGCATGAAGAGCCGACCATGTGTTGGGTCCTCTCGCTGCGTTCGGATCGACACCTGTGTTGTCCGCACCCCCCCCCCCCCCCCCCACTTATCGCCCATGCCAGTGAGTCCCCCCGCGCGCCCCATCCGTCCATCCGGCCATCCGGCCATCAGGCCATCCGTCCATCCGGTCATCAATTGTTGTCGGCGCCAAGGTCATCGCCGCCGACCGTCTCCCACGCCTCGCCGCGCCTTGGGTATGCAACCTACCCTTGCCAAGGAGGGCAGCGATAGCACGGACGTCCCCACGCATACACGCCTCATATAGCTTGTTCTCATGGGTCGACTGCGAGGCACCCATGCCTGTCTTCTCTCCCAAGTCGAGTGTTTCGCGCCGAGTGCAGCTGCAGGTGGGAGGGGAGGGAGGGGGAGGGGGGGGAGGGGGGAGGGGAGGGGAGGGGAGGGGGGTCGACAACCAAGGTGATGATGATGATCAGCTAGCATACCATCACATCGCACCTGATCCCCCCTCCTCCTCACCCCGAGAAGATACCCCCCCTTCCCCCCCCCCCCCCCACCACTAACAACACATCCCTGCCATGGCCATCCCGATCACCCTGTCCTCGAACACCCCCTCTCCCCCACCCCCACCCGCCCCCCTCCCCCCCTCCCCCCACCCCCACCCCCTCCCACCCACATAGATACCACCACTCGACTTGCCACCAGCGGCAATGGGTCTGGCCTCATTCATTCTGGACTTTCTCTCCTCGCTGGCTGTCCACTCACCGGCTACGCTACAGCAGCTGTATGGCGACCCATGGGCGGCCCATGGCGTCCTCCGTGCCCTCCCTCCGCTGGCCAAGAACTTCACCATGCGCATGCTGTACTTGACGGGGCCTCTGGCTGCAAGGTCTGTCCTCGAGTGGACGCCCGTCGAGTCGCGCTATCTTGCCCGGGACGCCCTGTGCAAGCTGTATCTGCTCAGGATGGTGCTGATCAAGTCAGAGGCCGGCTCGTCGTCGCTAGATGAGGCGCTGGCCGCTGGCCTCAGCGATCCGTCTGGAGATGAGGACGCTCTCACTGCTGCCGTTGCTCGCGCTCTGGAGGATGTGTATGCGCCTGGTGCGCTCATCTGCCTTGATCCGGTCTTCCAGGCCTCGCTTCAATCTGCGCTGGCTGGCGAGGCGCCGACGCCGTGGATCGCTGACGCCGACCCGTCGTCGCTCGACGGCGCAGACCTGCCGTCGGCAGCCACGCTCGATTCGTTTGCCGAGACCAAGTGGGAAGCCATTCTCGAGTTTCTCATGGGCACGCCGTCAAGCGATCTCGAGCCTGGCGTTGAGGCCATGCTCGCCGCTGCTGGGCTCATTGTCGACCACGACTCGGACGAAACCGCTGCGCCTGTCCTCACCCCCGCAGGCTTCAAGTACCTGCTCAAGGACGTGTACACCCAGATCTGGACCCTCCTTGTCGAGTTCATCTCGGTCGCGTCGGAGCAGGAGAACTCGATGGCCTCGGTCATCCGCTTCCTCTTTGTCCTCACCTTTCTCGAGGTCGGCCAGCCGTACCGCATGGACGCGCTCTCTGAGTTTGAGCAGACGCTCGTCCTCGACCTTCACGCACTCGGCCTCATATATCTCGCGTCGCCTGACTCTGCGCTCGGCCGCGAGTACTACTTCCCCACCAAGCTTGCCACACACCTCATGACCGGAAACATCGAGCTCGAGGACGACCACAAGTACATCATTGTGGAGACCAACCTACACCTCTACGCCTACACCACCTCGGTCATCAAGATGAACATCCTCTCCATGTTCACCGCCATCACATGTCGCCTGCCCAACCTGGTGGTCGGAGAAATCACCCGCTCGGTCGTCAACTCGGCATTTGGCCGCGGCATCACCGCCGACGAAATCCTGCAGTACCTCGCCGACCACGCCCACCCCAAGATGTCGACCCTACCGTCGCTCCTCGACACCTCGACCACTCTCGGTGACCTTGCCCTGCTCTCGGCTACCTCGCCGCTGCAGTCGGCTGCTGCCTCGGTCGCCGCCACCCAGAAGGCCATGGCTGCTGTCTCCTCGGACGAGGCCGCCATCGACCGCCCCGCTGACGTCCGCGAAATCGCCACCTCGTATTACTTTCCGCTCCACGAGGGCATCACCGACCAGATCAAGCTCTGGGAGCAGGAACGCAACCGCATCGTCTTTGTCCCTGACGTCGTCGTCTACTCGGGCTTTGCCACCAAGAAGGCCTTTAACCAAATCGTCCAGCTCGCCACCGCCCGCGGCTGCCTCGTCTACGTCACGCCAGCCAAACGCATGCTGGTGGTCAAGGAGTCGGGCGCCGCCGCCATCAACGCCACCATCTCGGGCATAGATCCGAACATGTGACCCAGCCCGATGAAATCCACGTAAAGCTGGCTCCATCCACACTCCCCGCCACCCTGACGCCTGTTCCCCCCCCCTCCCGTCGCCACGTCGCCACGTCGCCCCATCGCCACACACACACCTCCACGACCACGACCACTATGTCGCTCCCCAAGACCACCGCCCTCTCCTCACTTGCTTTGCTGGTGGTAGTGGCCATCCTCGCCACCCCCACCGCCCTTGCCACCGCCACCGACGTGGCCCTGGTATCACCCATGGCCACAGGCACCACCACCACCACCAACACGGCACCCATGCTGCTGCGATCGGGCGGAGCCGACAAAGCATGGAGTCTGTGGCACAAGATGGACGGCCTCTCTGCCGCATACTCGCTGGCCACACAGCAGACAACCGTCCTGGTGCTGGGAAAGGAGACGACAAGCGGCAACACCGTGGTCATGGCCTCCACCGATGGAGGCAGCTCATTTGCGGCAGAGCCTCTCTTCTCGCTCTCGCCGCAACCGGCTGCGCCGTTCTTCATGGCTTGGTCTTCGGCTTCTGATCGCATCTGGCTCACTGCCGGCCATGCTGATCCGCTGCCGGTCCCGCAGCTGTGGATGTCGTCGGACGGCGGAAAGGACTTTGTGGCCGAGAGCGTCCTCCCGGGTCTCGAGTACAACGCCACCACCCATCCCCTGGCCTCGTACGGCCGAGCCGTGTTTGGTCAGTACAACACCTCGCGCGGCGCAATGGTCGTCCGCTACTACATCGGAGAAGGCTCGTCGGCGACAAACGACGCGCTGGCTGTTACCGCAGACGGTGGCGAGTCGTGGCAACTCGTCGATCTCGCCCTGCCGGCGCTGGGTGCCACCTTTGCCCGCTCATTCGATACCCAGCTGGCCGTCGGTGACGACACCATTGTGGTGAGCTCGGCGTATCGCGCGGCCGACGACTCGGCGTCGGTGGTCTGCTACGTCGCTGACTTGTTTGCTGCTCTTGAGTCGGCGACCCCGTGGATCTCCAAGTCGTGGCAGACGCTGCTGCCGTGCGCGGCGGCGTCGGGAGGAACCGCAACTACCACGCTCGTGCTTCCGCCCAACGAGTCGGCTACTCTCTCGCGCGCGTCGGTTGATGGCACCCGGTTGCTCACCATGCTCCCGTCGCCCGGCTCAGGCGGCGCGCTCTCCAACGCCGACTGGTCCGAGTGGACTCTTGTCCACACACCGATTGCCGGTGCTCCGATGGTGCCCATCAAGCTCGAGAGCACTTATGTCGGCTTTGCCTCGACAGGGACTGGATGCGAGCTCTACGCCTCCAACTACGTCGGGGGCACGCTCTTTGCGCCCAAGCGGGTGTTTGGTGGGGTGTCGGGCGTGTCCGAGTGCCACTTTCGCGGCATCTATACCGACATTATTGAGCGCGAGGTCGACGCGCGAGTCGCGGCATTGCCCGACGAGCAAGTTGCTGGGAATGTCCGCGCCGCCACGCCCTCGCCGCCGCCGCCTCGGATGGTGGGGGACTGGCTCGGAGTCGGGACGCGGGCCAGCTCGTACGAGCCCGTCGTCTTCCAGATGAAGCTTGCGGCGCCAGTGGGCAAGGACAAGAAGCCGCCGCCAGCCGACGCTGTTCCGAGCATCGACTGGGTCCACCAAGTCGCACAGATCGACGTCAACTGCCCGGGCTGCCGGGCCGAGCCGTATGCTGTAAGCTCGGCAGATGGCCACATTGCGGTTGTCGCCGACAACACGGTGTACGGCTCGCACGACGGCGGGTACGCCATGCAGCTCGAGCTTGATCAGCAGTTCTGCTGGCAGCTCGGCAAGCTGGTGGTGGCCGACACCACGGCTAGTGCCAAGGCATCGGTCCTGTACGCGTCGTGCGCCGTGCCTGAGGGCTCTACCCGCGCGCCGTTTTTCTTCCGCGCGCAGTTTGGCAGCGCTGCGCTCGGAAGCGTTCTGTGGACACTCATGACGGTGCCGAACGGGCTAGTCGACGGCGTGCTCTCGGTCGAGGACATTGTGTTTGGCGAAGGGCCCGGCCACACAGCCAACGGACTGTTGCTGGCGGCGTGCGGCATCGACACGGCACCGGTTGCGTGCTTTTACAAGACAGCCGACTCTGGTACGAGCTGGGAAGCCTACACGCCGCCTGTCTTTGTCGACAGTCGCGTGTCGACAGTCGCGGTCGCGGGCACGACATCGGTGTACGCGGTGTACTTGTCCGAGACGCCCAAGTCGCCACAGACACCGTTCATCATGCACGACGTGTTTGCCACAGGCGCGTCTTCGATTGCGCTCCCGCTCTCAAGCGCAGTCACCGTGCCCGCTGTCGAGATGCTGTACGGCACAGCGATTGTGCTGGCCTACAACGGGGCGTCGAGCGGCGACGACCTCGAACTGCATGTCTCGTCGGACTCGGGCGCAACGTGGGCGCCGTTCAATCTGCCGCTCTCGACAACTGCCAAGGCCGGTGTGGTCTTTGCCGCCGTGCCCAACGTCGGCGCGTATGGAACCCAGTACTTGCTGGTCACTTCGTCGACGGTCGCCGGTACTATGTATCTGGCGCCGACCGCGGCGCTCGCCGACCATCCGGACAAAGTGCCGTGGAGCCAAGCTGCGGGCGCGCCCAACTACCGCATCACTTCGCTCTTCCCGCTCGCCGACGGCTTCCCACCGGCGCCGGCGAGGCGATCGCCAAGCAAGCCTGCTCTCTCTGTCGGCGCCATTTTCGCCATTGTGTTTGTCGTCATTTCTGCTGTCGGCGGCGCCATCGCCTACATCGTCAAGCGCAGAAAAGGTCCGACCGGCGGCTCCATCAACTACACCTCATTCTGAAGAAGCCAACCCGGCGACCAGTTGACTAAAATCCAACCTTTGCCATAATACCATCATCCGCCATCGACGCCCCCATCAACGCCCGCGGTCATCCAAAGCGGTCACCAAGCGGTCGGTCGGCGGCTCGCCCCCTCGCCGCGTGCCGATTCTACACCGCACTCAGCCATGGAGGGCCCGACAGCGGTGACTCGAGCACTGTTCCCTGCATGGGAAGCAGCGCGTGTAGCACGTGTACAGAGGACTCTGGCCGAGGCCTTTACCCGCTGGCGGACCCGCAAGGCCGTGGCAGACGCAGCCGGTCTCGCCTACTGGCGCCGCCGCTCGCGGTGCCTGGCGCGGGCGTGGCGGACTTGGCGGCATCGGGCGGACCGAAGTGGGACCGATGACCAAGGTTCTGATGAAGATGATGATCAACCGCATGGGACTGGGCATGAGCATGGGGTTGAGCATCCGGCGGCGGTCGCAAGTAGAGAGGCCGAGGCCATGCTGGCCCGCGCAAGAGTCCGCTTGGACGCGGCTCAGATCCATCGGTCTCGTGCCCGGCACCAGCCGCAGCATCGGTCGCCGGTGGGTGGTGGTCGGATGCATCGAGCCAACAAGCCGCTGATCGCTGTGCGGCAGGCCGCGGCGGAGGCTGGAGTCTTGGCTCAGGTGGTGGTCTCGTCTGGCAAGGAGAACAGAGCTGGCGACGATCACGGACACGTCGCGCATGATTCGCTCATGCTCGCTGCGTCGTACTACAGCCCGCAGCTACAGGCATCACGATCGCCGACACGGTCGCCTGCACCGGCGGCATCCAGCTGTGATCCTCCGATTGTGTGGATGCACGATCCGGACCACTTTGTAGCGGTTGCCGATGGCATTTCCTGTCCAGAGCACCACGGACGGTCGCCGCACTGTAGCGGCTGTCTCCGTCCGGTTGCGTCGCCGTTTGAGAGCCACGCCGATCGAGCCGCCCGTCGCAAGGCGCATGCCCGATCACGAGCGACTGCCCGGGCCAAGTACGCGGCAGCATCGCGGGCCCGAGCGCGGCGGGTGCGGGTGCGGTCGCAGTCGCCATCGGCGCCACCGCAAGCCAGCAAGGCGCCGCCGCGCCATGCTGTGGCAATTCAGGCCACTCCGGTCGCTGCTCCCGCAGCCCGACTTGCAACCCGATCACCTTTGTCCACGACACGATCTGCGGCAACACAAACGCCGCGGCGGACGCGCACGAGGCTCCCCGTGGCGACTCGCCTCCCACGAGCGCCGCCGTTTCCGTCGCCAGCGCCCGCCAAACCGATTCCGTCGCCGGAGCTCGCTGTCAACGAGCTCGAGCCTGCGGTCAGAGCGGGGCCTGCACTAGACGAGCCTCGGCGTGAGCTCGAGCATGTGACCTCGCCGGCGCCATGGACGCCGCTGCCGCTCTTCCGCGCTCCGCAGACCGAGGTCGTGCGCGAAAGCCTTTCGCCGGCGCCGTACTCACCGTCGAATCTAGCCGAGCTGCATGCGTCGTTGCGGCTGCACTCTGCGTCGCTACTGTTTGTTTAGCTGGTGGCGGCAATGGTGTCAGCGTCTGCGCCCATGAGCGGGATGAGTGCGCGCTTGAGATTGGAGAAGACGTGCGGGTGGATGGCTTCCTGGGCGGCAAGAACCTGCTTGATGCGGTAGCGTTCCATGGGAGCGTCGAAGCAGCCCGGGCAGTTTCGGAGACGACCGGGAGGCCGGAGGCGTAGGCAAAGTCGCGGAGGGCCGACTCGCGGGCAAAGGCCATGGGCCGGATGACGCGCAAGTCGCCGGCGTCGACGGTGTAGTGAGCCTTCATCGTGTTGAGCTTTCCGTTGAAGAGGGCAGACATGATGAACGACTCGGCAAAGTCGTCGAGGTGCTGGCCAAAGGCGAGGACGTTGTAGCCCTCGCGGCGCATGGCTGTGTAGATCATACCGCGCTTCATGCGCGAGCACCACGAGCAGATCGAGGTCACCGCCCCGCCGTCCTGGTTGGTCTTGGCTTGCTCGATGAGATCCTCCTTCTCGTAAAAGTACGGCACGCCGAGCGCGGCCATGTACGGAATGAGGACCGATGGATCGTAGGCCTCAGTCTGCGGGTCGACGGTCACGGCGCCGATCTCGTACTTGACCGGCCACCGCCGCTGGAGTGCAAGGAGCGTGTGCAGCATGGTGAGCGAGTCCTTGCCGCCTGAAACACCAACGAGGATACGGTCGCCCTCTCGAATCATGCCAAACATGCGGATGGCCTTGGTGACGGCGTTCATGAGCTTGCGCGGCGGCTTGCGGACGGTGGCCGACGCCAGCTTGGCCTCGAGTGCCGTAGCCGGCGTTCGTGCCGGACACGGCGGGAGCTGGGCCACCTCGTCGGCCTCCCAATCAGCGCCATCCATGGCGAGCATCATCTCGGCAGCAATGTCGGCGGCAGCCGAGTTGGCGATGGCATCCTCAGGCGCCTTTTTGGCCTCGCGAGAGTCGCCCATGTAGGTCCGCGGGCGGACCCGATGTGGCGGGAGCGCCGGTAGAGGCTCGCCTCGGAGCAAGGTGGCGGCTTCGTACGGGAGAAGGAACCACCGGATGGCGTCAGTGCCATGGGTGGTGAAGAGCGCAGACTGATCGGCGACTGCCGGAGGCTTGCGCTCGAGCTGCTCCCGCAGTGAGTGGGCTTCGGCCATGTACGAGGCGCGGAGGGCGGCGAGCTCGGTGCTGGCCGGCGGCTGCGAGGCCGGTGAGTCTGGGTAGGCCATGGCGCCAGAGCTGTACGAGATGGCCTGCAACCAGGTCCGCTGGAAGGCGCGCGCCTTGCCGACGTGGATCCACTCGGCGGTGTGACCAATGAACTTGTAGAGCGGGAGGAAGGCGTGGCCGTGGCGGGCAACAAAGACCAGGGCGTCGAGGATGTAGCCGACCTCGTCAGGCGAGGCAAAGTACGGGAGGTTGAACCGGGTGAAGCCTGGCTTGAGGACTTCAAACTCGTTGTCCTCCTCCATGGCCACCACGTAGGCCTTGATCTCGTCGAGAGTGAGGCCGACAAGATGCGCGCCGAGCGGGCCGGCGCACACGCATCCGCCGCGAACCTGGATCCCAAACAGATCGTTGAGTAGGACGGTGACAAAGTTGTAGTGCAGGAACATCGGCGTCTCGGTCGGCAGACCCGGGACAGCGATGAGGAGCGAGAAGAGAGCGAGGTGGTGCTCTTCGTGGTGGGGGCTCTCGCCAAGGAGGGTGACGTTCGGCTCGGCGCCGAGGACAGCAACGGCTTGGGCAACAAGCTCGGACTCGCGGCTGGCAATGAGCTCACCGCCGACGGCCGACTTGAGCTGGAAGGCCAGGCCTGCGCGGATGGCGCCGACAATGTCGGGCGTCCCGCCCTCCTCGCGGTACTCGATGTCGTCGAGGTATGCGTGGTCATCGGCGGTGACCCAGAAGACAGTCCCACCGCCCGGCGCGCACGACCGCGGGAGCTTGTCGAAAAGCGCCTGCTTGGCGACGAGGATGCCTGGTGCCGATGGCCCACCCACAAACTTGTGGCTCGAGATAAAGATAGCGTCCTTGAAGGTGTCTGCGGCGGCCGAGATTGGGTTCATGTCGATGTCGGCGTACGGCGCAGCGGTAGCGTAGTCCCAGAACGCGAGTGCCCCGTGGGCGTGAAGGAGCTTGGTCACCGCCTCGGTGTCGACCAGTCGCCCTGTCACGTTGGATGCCGCCGGGAAGGAGCCGATGAGCAACCGGTCCGCAGCTGCATGTGCACGCAGCTCTTCCGCCAACTGGGCCATGTCGAGCTCGCCGGCCTCGTTCACGCCGATGGTCACGACTGACGCGCTCGACTCGCGCCACGGGAGGATGTTGGAGTGGTGGTCGAGGAGCGAGACAAAGACAACAGCCTGGGCATCACCGTCATCGTTGCCAATGCTGGTGCTCGATTCGAGCGGGGCCACAAGGCCGAGGGCGGAGACCATCTTGTGGATGGCGGATGTGGAGCCCGGGCCGGTGAAGAGGGCCACATCAGTGTCGCGGTTGCCGTTGACGGCCTTGAGAATCATCTCACGGGCCTCGTGCAAGAACAGCGTGCTCTGCATCGACGTCGCCGAGTTGGACGAGTGCGAGTTGCCGTAGAGCGGGAGGACGTGCGATCTGATGTAGTCCTCAATAAAGGCCAGACTCCGCCCGGACGCCGTGTAGTCTGCGTAGACCAAGCTCCGCGTCCCGAACGCTGTGGCAAACCGCGCATTTGCCCCGATCACATTCTCCTGTCCCCCGTCCATCACCCGTGTACATTCCGCCATGTCAGATCATGTCCGATGCTGTGTGTGAGTTGTGCGTATCAATACCATCGTCATCGCCAAGGCCATGGCCATCGTCATCACCATCGCCTGCCTCGGTGCCTGGACGCCATCCATCCCGGCGGGTCAGAGCCGAGGGTTGCATGGGCGGTGAAGGGGGATGTAGAGGAGCTAGACGAGCAAGAAACGTACAGCGATGTAGGAAAGAAGCTTTTTTCCAGTCGGAGAGCTTGCTGGAGTCTTATCCGATGTGTATCGGTCTTGGGTGCCTGTGGCGTACACCCGGTGTCGGCCCGAGCCATGCGACATGTCAGCCAATTCAGAGGAGAGTGGCGGCGAGAGTGGTGGCCTGCCGCCACGGTTCTAGCCACGGCCATGGTCACGATGGCTTGCTTGCATCGCTTCAAGGTGCCGCAGCTGGGCTGATGCTGATGGGGAGGTCATGGCGATTGATTGATGTAGAGATGAGGATGAGGATGAGGATGAGGGTGGGGGGGGGGGAGGGGCCAAGGTGCTGCAGCTAGGCATGATGGGCATTGGTGATGGCACTGACATGGGCATCGGCATCGGCGTTGGCACCACCATTGGCACCGGCATCAGTTGTCGGCATCGGTATGGAGCCTGTCAACGTGTGATCTTGGCTCAAAGTAATGGCGTTGCCGCCAGCCAGGTGCCAACAGTCTGTCCCACACTGACCCACTTGCTCACCTACCCCCACTCCCTCACATCCGCTCCGATGCTCCATCCAACGTCCTCTGCATGTATGCAGCATGCCATTCTACCCATGGTCAAGTCTGATGGCGGAATGACGACGCCCACGCGCCGGAAGTGCAGCTGAGCGTGTCCGAGTCGGCGGCACGGTTCGCAGTCGCAGTTCGTCGCCTCGCATCTCTCTCTCTTTCAGCCCGCACACTGGAGCCACATGCTTCGATGGACAAGATCACGCGTTACGACTGGCCTTGGGCATGTATTCCGCCACTACAATCCGTATGCGCGGGCGCCTCCTGCGCTGGGATCGAAACAGGCGCTGGAGCAGATGCCGGCAGACGTGGCGAGCAAGATGACGACGCCAGAGGAGGCGCTCGACGCCCTGGGCAAGCCGCAGCATGTGGTGACGGCAATGGCAGCGTGTGAGCCGCATGGCTTTTTCTCACATGTCCACGAGGCGGCACGGGCCAACGGATGGCACGGGACCCGGATCCAGTGCGCCAACCCGTCCGAGGCGTATCCGTGCTTTGTCGACGAGGATCTGGTGGGCAAGCTCAAGGTGGAGGTCATGTTCCTCACGCCAGCCACGCGCAAGCTGCATGGCCGCGATCTGGTGCACTACATCCCGCAGCATCTCTCGCAGTGGACACGCAATATGGATAAGCCCGATGTGTTCTGGGGCACATGCTCGCTGCCGGATGAGCGTGGGTTTGTCTCTCTCGGGCCAGCGGCGGTGTACGAGCCGGAGGCGCTGGACATGGCCAAGGTGGTGGTACTCGAGATCAACCCGCACATTCCTTTCACTACTGGGGGGACGGTGGTCCACACCCGCGACGTCAACATGTTCGTGACCTCGGAGCGGAAGCCGATCACCATTCCGGCAGCCAAGGCCGATGCTATCGACACCCGGATCGCCGAGTACGTGGTCGACCTGGTGCCCGACGGGGCTACCATTCAGCTCGGCATCGGCGGCATTCCCAATGCTATTGCCACACTGCTGCGGAACAAGCGCGATCTTGGCGTTCACACCGAGATGATGAACGACTCGATGCGCGAGCTGTACGAGGCAGGCGTCATCACTGGAAAACACAAGACGTCGGAGCGCGGAGTCATGACCGCCTCGTTTGCGCTCGGCACGGCCGAGCTCTACCACTTTCTGCACCACAACCCGGTTGTGGCCTTTCGCGCCGGCTCGTGGGTCAACGACCCGTACGTCATCGCCAAGCAGCACCTCATGCGGTCGATCAACACCGCAGTCGAGATCGATGTCACCGGGCAGGTCTGCTCGGAGAGCGTCGGTCACCGTGAGCTGTCAGGCGTCGGCGGCGCCGCCGAGACACACATCGGCGCGCAGATGTCGCGCGGCGGGCGCGGCATCATCGCCATGCGCTCATCGGCCGCGCTCGCCGACGGCTCGCATGTCTCGAAGATTGCCTTTGAGCTCCAGCGTGGCGCCAAGGTCTCGGTCTCGCGCAACGACATCGACACTGTGGTGACCGAGTATGGCGTCGCCGCCCTCCGCGGCAAAAGCGTTGCCGAGCGGGTCCAGGCCCTTGTCGCCATCGCACATCCGCGATTCCGGGACGAGCTTTTGCATCAGTCGCGAGAGGTGGGCTACTTGTAGCGCAGCGGGATAATGCCGCCCCAGTGAACATCCGAGCCTGCTGGCGTCTCGGGCTGTCAGCCAGAGAGAAAAAAACAATGATCACGCGTCGAGTTTGCGCGTTTCCGGAACAATGTGCACAGAAGCTCGATGGCGAGATCACAAACCCCCGCACTGAATCACCACTGCGAGCGCAAGGTCTAAGTGGCAGAGTGTTGTAGCGCTGAAAAAAGCGAGACCAGCTTGCGCAGAGGCATCCATGTTTGCTTCTTCATTCCACGGCACCATCGTGCTTGCCTCGGTGCCTCACCGATGAAGAACATAGGACCGATGTGGATCCAAGCCACCACATCGTCATCGTCCTCTCTCCCAGTACCCAGCCATTCCACTGCGATGGTTGGCAACTCGGTAGCTTGCCTACCGTAGCCTGTGGCAGTCTCTCCCAGCCATCGACTTCGTATTGGCGCGACCAAGGTATGGCGTCATCGGTGGGGCACAGCCACTCGACTCCAGGGCGACCTGTGGGATGTCGCTGACGATGGCGCACCGCGGCGAGTACGCAGCAAGGAGAGGAAGATGAGGGTTCTGTAGTGGGCAGATGGTACTTATGGGTGTGGTTGTGCTCGGTGGCGTGGGTGGTGGCTAGGGCGGCCTACGCTGACATGGTCTCGGTCGGCGTCCATGTGGAGGCCTCCGACTCGGGCGGTGTGTCTCCTGAAGGTGGTCGGGAGGAAGGCATCCACCCATCACGGCTTCGTATGCCCCGTGTCTATCTCCGTGGTGTGCCGGGAAATACTCCGTTTGCTCGGCTGAGGGAGATGCTTGCTGATCCGGAGATCCAGGCTCAGCTGGTGGCCCAGATCGGCGACGGTGCTGATGGCGATGAGCCGGGGGCTGGTGTTGATGGTGAGGCCTTGGCGGCGCTGGGGGGGATGGCGAGGTTCAAGCTCCCAGTCTTTGGCTTTGATTCTGACTCGGACGAGGGCGGTGTGTCTGAAGGTGAGGACGTGGGCGACTACGTGGGCGCCGACATTCCGGCGCTGGCCAGCAACGGGCTCTGGGTCATGCTGCACATTGTGGCGGACACCGCGTCAGACTCAGAGGCTGCTGGCGCTGCGGCGTCGCGCGAGCCCGTCTCGCTGCTGGATGCTGCGCTTGCTCGTGCTCGCGGCAAGGTCAACTCTGCTGTCATCCGTGACATGGACCGCATCGGCCGCTCTGGTAACGCAGCCGATGCCGTCGACGACTTGGGGAGCCGATCACGGGGCAAGGGCAAGGGCAAGGGAAAGGGCAAGGGCAAGGGCAAGGGCAAGGGCAAGGGCAAGGGCAAAAGTAAGAGCAAGGGCAAGGGTAAGAGCAAGAGCAGGCGGAAGGGTAAGGGCAAGAGCAAGAGCAAGAGCAAGAACACGACGAGCGATGGGCCCCAGCTCTAGATCAGCAGCTGCCTGTATGGCGCCACGCCTGTTGATGGCAAATCCCTGCGGTGGTCTACGTTGTCAAGCAAGTGACAGGTCGGCAGGTCGAGGCGGGCGACCGCTGCGACGCGCCACCGAAAGCTGCGACACGTCGCCCACACTCACCGCTCTACTTGTGTCGAACATGGGCAAGGCTGTTTCCAAGCTGTGTAGCTCTGGCAACAATGCCAACTCGGGGGCTATTTGCCAAGGTCAAGACATTCTCGAGTACATCCACGTACGCTTCCTGGCCATCGCCCTGCCATGACTGTTGCCCTCTCAACGGGCCCCCTCCCCCTCCCCCCTCCCCCGCCTTTGATCCCCGCCGTGTGGCGGTGATCACGATCATGATCGTCCCCGCCCTTCCCCCCTCCCCCCCCCCCGGGCAAGGCCGGCTGGAGGGTCGCATGGGAGAGGGGGGAAGCACACAAAGACCAGACTCACACGAAGACGTTGTATATGTTTACATTGGGTGGGTGGGAATGGTGGTGGCGGACTGTGGCGGACGGACGGGGTGGATATTCCGTGGCCGCGGGGGGGGGGGGGGTGGCGGGGTGACGCGGTGGCGATGTGGCGGTGATGTGGCGGTGGCGGCGATGTGGCTGTGGCGGGCGGCTATTGGCGGGAATAGGATGCAGTGATTGGATGCAACCAGATTGTGACGACGCCGTTTGGCGATCGGGTCATGCTCTATGCCGACTACACGGCGTCGGGGCGGTCGCTGCAGTTTATCGAACACTACATGCGAAACGAGGTGCTCCCGCTGTACGGCAACACGCACTCGTCCAACACGGCTACGTCGATGCAAACATCATCGTTTATGGCGGACGCGCGGTCGATTATTCTGGAGGCGGTGCACGGTTCGGCGTGCGAGGACGTGGTCCTCTTCACCGGCTCGGGCTCAACAGGCGCGATTCTCAAGGTGGCGCGCGTGCTAGGGCTCGAGCCGTCGCACTGCGCGTGGAACGAGACCAAGAGCATGGAGCTGCAGGACTCGTACCAAGCTGTGGTCTTTACCTCGCTCATGGAGCACCACTCGAACTTGCTGCCGTGGCGCGAGTCCGGGGCGCACGTTGTCCTCATCGGGCTCGACGAGTTTGGCGAGCCGGACATGGACGAGCTCGCCGAGAAGTTGGAATTGTACGCATCGCGGACCGAGCTGCTCATCGGATCTTTCTCCGCAGGCTCGAACGTGACCGGCCGGATGACGAACACCAAGGCGATTACCGAGGTTCTCCGCGAGTACGGGGCACTGGTCATGTTTGACTACGCTGCGGCGGCGCCGTATGTCGACATCGACGTGTCCGACAAGGATGCTGTGTTCATCTCGACCCACAAGTTTGTGGGCGGGCCGGGGACGCCGGGCGTGCTTGTGGCCAAGAAGAAGCTGTTTGGCTCCAAGTCGTGCGCGGACCCAGGTGGCGGAACGGTGTTTTGGGTGACGGCCGACGACCATGCGTACCTCGAGGCTGTGGTGTACCGCGAGGAGGGTGGCACGCCGGACATTCTCGGCGCCATCCGGGCCGGACTTGTGTTCCAGCTCAAGGCAGCGGTGACGCCTGCAGCGATCCACGCGCGCGAGGCCAAGTACCTTGCCAAGGCGCGCAAGGCGTTCAGAGCCATGGACAACGTGCACATTCTGGGAGCGTCGTCAGCAGAGCACCTGACCATTTTCTCGTTCCTCATCTCTGTTCCGTGGCACACTCACCTCGACTCGGCGCGGTCGGCTCTCTCAGGCGCCGGTACGTCCGAGTCGTCCGTGCCCGACGCCGGGCCCGACGACCATCCGAACCTGTACCTCCACCACAACTTTGTCTCAGTCCTCCTCAACGATCTGTTTGGTATTCAGACGCGTGGCGGATGCGCATGCGCCGGCCCGCTCGGCGCATACCTCCTCCAGCTGACGCGGGCAGAGATCCAGGCGTTCTTTGAGGCCATGTCGCTCGACGATGACTCGGCGATTGTCAAGCCCGGCTTTTCGCGGTTTGGCCTTGCCTACTTTTTCAACGCCGAAGACGTCAAGTACATGCTCGACGCGCTGGCCTTTGTGGCCGAGCACGGGTACAAGTTCCTCACCGTGTACGAGATTGTCAACGGCTCTGACTGGGTCCATGTCGGCTTCAGCAACCGCATGCGGACGCTCCGCGACATCTCGTATGACGCTGGCTGCATGTCGCACGCGCCCGAGATCCACACCGGCAAGGTCGCGCCAGGCGAGCTCGCGGCGGCCCGGGCGTCGTACCTTAAGCACGCCCGCAAGGTCCTCGCTGAGATCGAGGCCGAGCCGCCGGTCATTGAGGAGGAAGAGCACCCGGTCTTCCAGTCGCCGTACCGCTGGTTTGTCCGCCCGTCGGACGCATCGCGGATGCTCCGCGGCGAGCCCATGCAGTTTGTGCCCGAGCAGACGTTCACGCCGATCCAGTTTAAGTAAAAACCGAGCGTCGGCCCGGTAGTCAGCCGCTCTCAGCCGCGGCCAGTGGCGGCCATGGTCGCACCGCCCGTCCCCTCCTTCCCACAGCCACCTCACTCGCGCCCGCTCACCTCCATGGCAACGCCCGGACTCTCCCCACGCTCCGGTTCACACGGACGGGCGAGTATGCGGTACCGTCTCGGCTCCTCCACCTCGAGTTCCTCCACTTGGCCTTCCCGAGCGATGGCCACGTCCGTGCGGCGGGCATGTGGCGTCAGACCGGCCCGCTCCTCGCCTCCATCCCTCGGATTCATGAAGGTCTTGAGGCACTGTCCTTTGTGGCACACGAGTTCCTGCTGCCTGCCATGGTGCTGGAGAGTGATACCTCTGTGGGCTTGGTCATCCGATGGTCCGATGCCTCGATCTGCTTGGGCTGGCGGAGAAAGGCGTACACGGCGGCGCCCGAGGCGAGCCTTCTCGGCGAGCCAGGTCTTCCCGAGCCGTACGCCCGGCACACTCTCCGCAACGTCTCGATCATCCACTCGTTTGAGCACTTTGAGTCGCCGATGTGGGTCACCTTTCACGTTGTCTCATGGGGATCGCGCGCCCACGCACAGCTGCTTGCCCGCCACGGCCCGCCGCGGCTGAGGGTCAACTCGGATCACAGCATGGCCGATCCTGCCCGCTCGCTCCACGGCCTGCCGGAGTTTGTCTTTGTGCCCAAGGCTGCATGGGTGCCATCGGACGCACTCTTCGGCCTCATCGAAGACTTTCTGCTCTCGCGCAAGCTCTCGGTCATGCTCACCCGGCTCGGGCGCAAGCGGCGGGAGCTGCGGGCCCGCTTCCCGACCAAGGAAGCGCTTTTGGCTCGCGACATCCGAGGCACGCCGTACCAATCTGAAGACTGGTACAATGTGTACAAGGCGACTGGCGCACGAATCGCAGCCCGCGCTGGTGCCGTCTTGGACTCGCAGCTCCGCGCCCTGCAGTTTTTTGGGCGGTACTTTGCGTCGGGCGACCTCGCGGCAAACTTGCTTGCCAACATCACCGTCCTCCCCCGGATGGCGTTTAGCCAGGCTCGCGATCTGGCTGCAGCTCTGGCTGCGGCAGTCTCGCGCAACCGCTGAGCGGCTCTATTGGCCGCGACTGTACTGCACTGCGCAGACAGAGAGCGGCTGTTGAAGCAGCCGGCTACGCTCGCCCGCTCATCGCCGACGACTCGTGCCACGCAGTCTCGATCTCGGCCGGGGCGCGGCGGAGGAGAGCGGTGGTGGCAATGACACTGGCGGCGGCGACGATGCTCGAGCCCGGGAGAATCGCGCTTGCGCCGATGAGCGGGAGGGCGAGCCACACGCCAACGACGACGACAAGCGCCAGCTGCGCGACAAGGACCGAGCCGCGCACTCCAATGCTGCGCGCGAGGCCGACGCCGCCGCGCAATACCGCGAGCCAGGTGTCGACGACGGGCTCGATGAGGTCGGCGACAGTCGCGGCGCCTGCCGTCGCGCCGTCCTTGGCCACGCTCGCGCCGGCAGCTAGCGGCGCCACGGCGCACGACGCCGCCCATGCGGCGGTAGAGAGCATGAGCACGAGCGCAGCCGGCCCGGCCCATGCGAGACTCGCCAGCGCGGCGCTTGCCAGCACCGCGCCCGAGCCAGAGAGACCCCCAGCGGCAGCAGCGGCAGAGCTACCGGCGGCATCTGCAATGAGGCCGGCAACGGCGTTGACGCCGGTGATGACGAGCTGGGCACAGGTCGCAACAGCTCCCACCACGCCTCGCCCGACTGGGTTCGAGGTCACAAGAGCAGCGTAAACGCGAGTCGCGGCGCGTTGTACATACTCGACGCACACGGCCTGCCGCCCGTCGGCGTCTTGAGCTGCGCGCAGCTCCCTCACCCAGCGAGGGAGCGAGAGCGAGACTGCCGACGCCAGACCGGCAGCCACGAGCAAGATCCAATCGAGGGCACCGGCAAGAAGCGCAGCGGCTGCAGCACCCGCACCGTCATTCAGTTTGAGGCTTCCGAGTCGCCACGGCGCAGCAAGGAGCATGCCCCACAGCGGCAGTGCCGTCAGATTGAGCGTCGCCTCGCCGACGAGTACCAAGACTTCGATCGCGCAGTGCAGCGAGTCCGGCTCTGTCGGCGGCGCGGTGACAAGAGCGAGAAGCGCAGGGGCGCGAGTCAGAGTTGCGGCCACGTACACGGTGCCAACGACCGCAAGAGTGTCAAGGAGGATCGCCGAGCCGAGCTCGGGTGCAAACTCACGTGGGCGGATGTTGGGCAGGCCCAAGACGTCGTATGGGCCATCGGCGCCAGCGGCGGCGCCTCGTCCAACAAGCAGCGTGCCTACAAGGAGCGAGAGCACCCACCAGACAACCGAGCTCGGCGTTGCGAGCGTGCCGATGGCGAGCACCAGGACGCGGAGCCAGACAAAGGCAATGAGGCACCAGCTGAGCGCGGCGAGTGCGCGCATTGGCGCGCCGGCAAGAGTGCGTGGCGCCGGGCGGAGGGCTACAAACCAGGCAGCCAGGCTCGCTGCCGTCAGCGGCAGGGCCAGTGCGTACATGGCGGCGGCGACGATGCCCTCGACCCACGACTGATCGGCGCGGCGGTGGCGGGCGGCGCGGGCAGCGCGAGCCTCGATGGCCGCGGCGCGGTCGGCCGGCGAGAGGCCAGCCAGATCCAGCAGCTCACTAGATTCTGCCGCCGCCGCCGCCACCGTCGCTGACGAGCTCCGCCGCGAGCGGTGGTAGTGGCGATGGTGGTGGTGGCGGTGGCGCGACGAGCTCCGACGAAGGCCGTCGATCCCGCCGTCGTCAGACTCGAGATGGTGAGGCGGAAAGTCATGCGGGACAGCGGATGAGCCGTCAGAGGTCTCGTCCTCGGATGAGTTCATGGCGGAGAGGTCACCGGGGGTCAGCGAAGTAGTGGTCTCGTCGAGCACGTTGTCGGCGAGCGGCGATCCGGTCTCCTTGGAGATGCGCTGCCAAGAGAGCGAGATGTTGATGGAGCAGTGCGCGACTCGCTTGGCGTCTGCGTCCATAAGAAAGACACGATGACGGAAGCCGCCACGGACAGGCGAAGCGGCGACAAAGTCGGCAAAGTTGAGGACGAGGACGGCTCTTGTGTGCGATCGCTTGCCATCCTCAATCAATCTCAGCTTGTATTGCTTGTCATCGTAGTCATCGCCATCCCTCCGCTTGTACAAACGGCCCGTCATCGACAGCTCTTCATCCCACACTACTTCTCCCCGTTCAAGAACAGCTGTACTCGTCCGTGCTTCATGTCCCCCATGCGTCCATCTCGCCACAAAGCCGCGGGCCTCGGCTTCCCAGCCCTCAGACAGCGCAGCACGTTTGACCTCGGCAGAGTGGACCGTGAGAAGGAATACAAACTTGTGCGCCCGTTTACCACGTCGTCGCAGCCGGTTAAACATCACTGCCGAGTATGGGCCGAGTCACGTCTGCCCACCTTGGGTTCTGGATAGGAACGGCGTCCGCGAGCTGGGTCGGTGGCTGGGTGACGGGCCGCCGCTTCGGCGCGTTCCGCTGGCGAACAATTTGGCGGCGGGCGCGAGCAGGCGATGGCGGGAGGCTGCGTCCTGGCGATAGGGAGAGGCGAGCGAGAAAGAGTCGTGGCTTGGATGGCTTGGCACTGGAGGCGCATGGTGATCCAGCGTGCTGTTGTCGTTGCCGGTCTTGATGTGCCGAGTACCGACGGATAATTGTTGCGGTCTGCACCAGCGCTTGGACAGCGATCATCTTTCTTCCGAGCACTCGAGCCACTACAGCGGGTGCCCACATCACAAGTCCACAGCCCAAGCCCAAAGCGGTAGCTACCAGCGCGAGGCAGCGTCGTACGCCGGTCGATCATGGGATGATCCGACCAGCGAGCGGCGACCGATTCGTTTTGGGGACAGCCCATCACCGTGATTTTTCTTGTCACCGCCGTGACAGCCCAGTGCCGGGTCAAGGCCGAACAGCCGAATGTTGGTCGGCGGCGCAGCTGACCCGTTGGCGCAGCGGCGAGGGGGGGGACAACACGCGACTCTGCCGGCATGTCGCGCCCACGACCAGCGACGACGACGACAACGACGACGACGGCTACAGCCGGTGCACCTGCTATTGCCGACCGTAACTGGAATGCTCCCCTCGAGCTGGTTCCTCTCGACGAGGATGCCGTGACGGTGGTCGACCCGTACAAGCACAGGGCCACAGCTCGGCACCGGGAGCGGCTGGCGGGACGGGCGGCGAAGCGGGCAGCATCGAGGGAGGCATGGGAGGCTCTGGAGAGGTCACGGACAAGATCGGGCAAGGGGAGAACAAGACAAGGTTATGGCTCGGGTCGTCGGTCCGGCGAGGGCAGGCAAGGCGTTGCGGGCGCTTCGAGCGCTGCGGGAGCTGCAGGAGCTCCTGGCCCACCGCCAGTTCCGACGTCTCTGGCGGCGGGTGGGGGCAGCTCGAGCGGGCATGGCGGATCGGCGGACGCTTCGTCGGCCATTTATCGCAAGCTGGTCGAGGCCATGCATAATGTGGCTGCAGCCGATCCTGGTCCCGCAGGCCCGGGTCTTGGCGGCGTGGCGGATGAGCATGAGCTCAGCGGTGTTTGGGGCGAGAGCGACGGTGATGATAACTACGTGGCGATGTTTGGCTTTGCGCTCCCGCCAGACGAGGTCCGGGCGCCGCGGGTCTCGTTTGTGCGACAGGCTTCGGGCTCGGGCGGCGAGCCAGGGCTACGGTTTGGCGACTCTGTGGCTTCGCTGGGGGCGACAATGGAGCGGTCGATGACGTCTGATGGCGGCGGCGAGGGTGAGGGGCAGGGTGGGGCTGGCGACGACGACGACGATGAGCTCCTCGCGGAAGAAATGCTGCGGCGAGTGGAGGACGAGGTAGACGCTGAGTTTGCCGGCCTCGACTTTGACGACACTGACTTTGTGACGCAGCTCCGGCAGCGGCAGTTTCGGCTGGCGCAGCGCGAGCGCGAGCTTGGACGCAAGCGGGCAGCATACCACTCGCATCGCGCGGATGTGGAGGCCAAGGCGCGGCGGTCGGTTCGGCGGATGGCGGTCGACCAGGTTATGCACGCGTCGGTCGACTATGGGCCAGAGTCGGTGACCGGGCCGAACCGCAAGCCGTGGCGGTTCTACGCCAAGAACTACGACTTTCCAGTCTCGTACCCGGACGTTGGATCGCAGCGCCGCGAGTACGATGCCAAGAAGATGCGGTTTAAGCCGATTCCGCTGCCGTGGGACCACTGGGACAAGAAGCTCAAGTATGTGCAGGACACGTACGCCGAGTCGGTCAAGGAGGAGCAGCGCGCCAACGAGTCGCGGTGGCGCGGTGCTAGCGGAAGCAAGCACGGGACTCGTCGGCGAGCCGCGGGGAAGGCCAAGGCCACCGCTGGCGGCGGCGACCCGGTTGTCGGCGATGGTGGTGGTGGCGGTGGCGGCGGCGGCGGTGGCGAGCGGCTGTACGAACTCTCGACTAGCGAGCGGAGCGAGGTCAGCGCCATCTTCAACCTGTTTGACTCGGACCACGACGGTCGGATCTCGATCTCAGAGCTGCGATCGCTCATCGACGACACGGTGGAGCAGTACCCGCGACTGTGGGAGCTCATCCGGCGGGTCCGCTACCGGCGGATGCGCAAGCAGCAGCGGCAAGAGTATCTGCGCGAGCGCGAGCTGGCGGCGGAGGACCCGAGTCGCCCGCGGCCGACCACGCCGAGCCGGATCAAGGCGACCGATCCAATCACGCGTGACGAGTTTATCGACGCCATGCGGGTGTACTACGAGTACGAGCACGGGCTTACGGCGCGCGAGGACGACGACGGCGAGCCGAGCCACCGCTACAACCGGCTCGCCGAGCTCTGGCTCTCGGACCTCAAGTCGTGAGCGCGGCACTCATGCCAGCGCACCGGAATGAATGCTGTACGCCTGCTCGATCGGCGCGTCCTCGCAGAGCTCGATGACTCCGCCGTCCTCGACGTTGTAGAACCCGAGGTCGACGAGCGAGTCGTCGAGAGCATAGTGGACGCCCGGCGCTGACGGGTGCGAGTAGACCAGGTGCAGGCCCTCGAGGTCGACGACTGCGACGGTAAAGAGCCGGCCGATGAGTGTCCGCAGCTTGGCGATCTGGGTCGAGAGTTTGAGCCGCTTACTCTTGGTTGCCTCACCGTAGACGAGGGTAAGGCCGGCACGACCGGAGCCTGCGGTTGGGAGCATCGACGCCGGCGGCAGAGTTGCGGCCTTGGCCGCCTCCTCGATCACGTCTGGATGCTTGGCGGCCAGCTCTCCGGCGCGGGCGAGAAAGGCCGACCGGAGCTCGCATGCCACAAGGGAGTCGGCGTACTTGACAAAGGTCCGCTCGGCCTGGCTCCGCTCCTTGTTGGAGATGCGCGAGCCGCCATTGAAGACTTCGAGGCCCGGCATCAGTGCCAGGACCAGGACCCGGACCGAGAGCGCGGCGTCACCGAGCGGCAGGGCATCGAGCGGCGTCGAGTGAAGGCGGAGGTGGGTGAGGGTGCCGAGGCCGGCAAGGACAATAAGGACATCCGGCGACGCTACCTTGCTCCACGCCAGCGAGAGCGAGGTGAGCATTGGCGGGAGGACGCCGAGCGCCGGGTCAAGACTGTCAAGGTCTGTGTGAGCGAGGACGAGCGTGGAGAGGTGTGGGAGTGCGCGAAGCGCCGGGGCGAGGCCAGCCCATGTCAGCGGATTGTACGAGAGGTCGAGGAGCCGCAGTGAGGCACCGAGCCCACCGAGGTCTGCGTCGAGCGTGGTCAGACCGGACTCGACCATGTGCAGCTCACGGAGTGATGCCATCTGGTGGCGAGCAGCCAGCTGCGCGACGGCAGCAAGGCCCAGTCGACACCGGTTGACGACCAAGATCTCGAGGCCGGGAAGCGGGATAGCATCGCCGGCGTGGGCACGCGACTCGTCAAAGCGGTTATCGGCGACGCCGAGCTCGACGAGGGCGGGGAGGATGGCGGCGATGGCAGCGACGTCGTCAAACGAGGTGAGCAGATTACAGGCGAGGTCGAGGGTTCGAACGGCATCAAGCCGGCCGGCGAGGTGACCGAGCACACCGGCGCTTGCGACCTGCTCGCGAACGAGGCCAACCTTGTCGAGCGCCTCGAGCTTGGAGAGGCGAGTGGATATCTTGGCTGCGCCAACAAACTCGACAGCCACCGCCCGTGTTGTTGACAAAATAGACATGTCATCGCCGGGCTTGACAGCCTCATCGATGGTCCGCTCGACCGGTGCGTGATCAAGCGCCTGTTCGTAGCGCTCCGCAAAGGCATCGGCAAACGACCGGCCAAAGACAAACTTGCTCGCGAGCTTGCTGGCCTTGACAAACGAGCCTGCACCGTCCTGTGCCACATCAAAGTACTTGACGCCCTCGTGGCATCCCGAGTGCTTCCCGCGAGACGGGTCATCCCACTCGATGCCATACCAGTCGTCTGCAAGCAGCGTGTGAGTTAATATCGTTCGCCCATGCCGCGACGAACGCCACCATGGCGGCCATGGTACTTACACACGGCAGCATGACAATGACAGAGCTCGCGGCGATCGACACTGCATGCGGTAGTACCATTACATCGACTATGACTCCAGCCCCAGCCTCAGCGGCAGCACCGACAGGATCAGGATGACCCCCTCTGATGCGATCATGGCAGTCCACCGTCTCACCACTTCCCCAATCTCCATCACCTCCATCACCTCCATCACCTCCCTCTTCTCTCCCCTGCCCATGCCTATGCCTATGCCCACTCGTTGCGTACGTGGCGTGGGCGGGACCTTTCCAAAGAACCGGATGGTACCCCGCCAGTCGTTCTTGCGACTCTGGACTCGCCTGCCCACACACTCGGCGCCCATGGGCATGACTTCATCCGGGGACTTGGCCTCCGTCTTTGTTGCTGCCATGGTGATACAACCTCACGTCCTTGCCAAACCCTTCCCTCCTTTGAATGTACCGAGTTGAGTGTCCTCTCCTTCGCTCTGTCCGACTCGGGTCGCTAGGCTCAGCTCGGCCCGGCTAGGCCCGTCCGTCCTGCGCTCTCGCGCCTTCTCCCAACCATGCCCGTCCGGCGCTTGGTCAAGGGCCCGTTATACGCACCTCTGTGGATTGATGCCATCTCTGGGATTTGATCATACGTTGTTGCATATACGCACGCTACCTCACATGGCCGCAAGGTATCGGGCGCTATCGCACGCTATCGCACGCTACCGCGCTACCGCGCGCCATCGCCAATGGTACTCGTTTGCAGGCGGAAGCTTCCGATGTGAGCGCACACCATGACTGGCAATCATGACTCTATGGTTGTCTGCTTTATGCGAAGAGGTGGGTCCGCTTGGCGCTCTTTGTCACGGCCTTGTAGTTTCCGCTGCCGAGGATCGGAAGCAGGCGGTGCTTGTCGGCGATGGTGTAGAGGGTCCAGACCTTGCGGGTGGCGAGGAGGGCGGCGGTGGCGAGCGGATCGGACTCGGACTCCATGTCGTTGATGAGCTCGGGATAGAAGCGGGCAAAGGTCGGCGGGGCGTAGAAGACCAGGCGTGAGATGCCGCGGATGCGGTAGCGGAGATAAAAGTAGAAGCGCTCGGTGAAGAGCAGAAAGTGGGTCTCGTGATGGTAGAACTTGGACCGCGCGCGCGCAACCTGTGAGAGTGTCGAGTACTCGGAGATGACCTCAAACTTGGCGCTCTCGGCCACGAGGTGGTTGCGGACTCGGACAAAGTCAAAGTACGACGGGATGTAGATCGCCACCGTTCCGCCCTGCGATTCGCGGACCTTGACCAGCTCGGGCCAGACGGTCTCAACAAAGGCCTGGAAACGAACGTCGGGCTCCGATGCGAGCTCTGAGAGCGCAAGCGGAATGCGGACAAAGACCTGGTCGATCGGGAGGAGGACCGACGAGATGGAGCCGAGCTTGATCTTGGGCGGCAGCGCATAGACCGCCTGCTTCCCGGCCCGGTTGTTGCCACACAGCGAAGCGTTGTTGAAGAGGGCGAGCACTTGCGGAGCGGCCACCGCCGACAGCACAATCGTCTGCCGGTAGTGCTTGGCAAGGAGGTCCAAAAAGTAGTTACGAACCCGCGAGTAGTCCGTATCGCGCGGCCGGAGCAGCGGCGCGTTGGTCACCTCGAGCACTGTTGTCAGATGCTCCCAGTTCTGCATCAGCAGCACGTGTGCGCTCTCCACCACAAGCAGCTCGATTGACGAGAGAAAGTCATAGTTGCGCCGCGACGTTGTGTCCTCGCTTGTCTTGGTCAGCAGACGAAGCCCGAGTGGCGAGGCCACAATGATGTCAGCCGAGTACAGCGGCGCCATCAACTGCACGCTCCGCCCCAGGAACCGGATGCCACAGCAAAACGAGTCATCGGTGTTGCCGTCAAACAGCTCTTGGTAGTCGAGCGGCTTGGCCGCAAACTGCTCGCTTGTGTCCGGCTCGCCGGCATACTCTTTGGTGAACGAGTCGAGCTTGACCACGTTCTTGCCCTCGCTCACCGACGTGCCCGGCATCAGCGCCAACAGCGTGTGCACAATTCGCATTGCACGGTTCCGCATCGGCGTCACAATCAGCACCCGTGCCCGCGTGTAGCCCTGGTCACGCAGCGCGTCGTCGTCCGAGTCCTCGTCTGACGAGTACGACGAGTCGGAATCGGACGAATCGGAGCCGGCGCCGTTGGCGTTGCCCGAGCCTGAACCTGAACCCGAGCCCGAGCCGGAGTTCTTGAACCCGGCCGCGGCCTTGTTGAGCGCCCGCGCCTTGGCCCGCGCCTTGCGGGCCTTGGCCCGCGCCTCGCGCCGCGCAGCCTTGGCGGCCAGTTTGGCGTTGTTTGCGCGGACTCCGTGCCAGCCCTTGACCGCGTGCGAGAGCGCATGAAGCAGGACTGCATCGGTCACTTCGTCGCGGACGTCGATGTCGTCGAGCGCCGGCGAGGCCACAAGCATGTCCGAGTAGCTGCTTACTGTGCCGAGAACCACACGCTGCTCCTCGGTCAGCGCGCCCGCAGTTTGAGTGTACTCGGCCCAGCCCGGGAGAAGGGCGGGCGAGACAGCAAACTGCGGATGGTCGACGCCGATCTCACATGCCGCCAGCGCCTTGATGTCGACTGTATCTGCATCGTAGTGAATCTTGCCCAGCGATGTCATGTCCTTGTCCGGCGCCTCGCTCGCACTTCGCACCGTCACCCTTTGCATGTCCTCGATGTCGTTGTGGACGAGGTCGGTCTCGATAAACTTGCGGAACGGGTCGTCGGCCGGCAACTTGTTCTTCAGCCGCTCATCACCCTCTGCAGGCGCATCCTCGGCGACAGCATCATTAGCATCCTCGCCGCCACTACCGTCATGGTCGTCGCCGGGCGCGACCTGGTCGTCGTCAAGCTCGGAACCTGCTGTTGCGCCGACCACAGCGGCCTCGATCGCGGCGTCATCCTCGTCGTCGTCACCCGACGCGCTCGCCGACCCATCGTCGCCCGAGTCTGTTGCCAATAGATCGCCGCCGACTTGCTCCTTGAGCTCGTCGAGCGCATCTAGGGCATCGTTGACATCAAACGAGTCGTCGGAACCGTCGTCGTCGCTCTCGCCCTCGCTCTCCGACTTTGACCGCGCATCCTGGATGACCTGGACGAGCTTGGCGACCGACGACCGTCCGCCGCCGATCCTTTCGCCCATCAGGCGATTGCGACCACTCTTACCATCGCCGGTCTCGTTCCCCGCAAATCGGAAGGTCTCCGAGCTCGAGTCCGAGGCCGACGACGAGAGGTCTGACTCGTCGTCCGAGTCTACCGGGCGGAGAATGGTGTACTTCTTGCCCGAGCCCTTCTTGGCGACGGCCTTGTGGGACTTGGCCTTCTTGGACTTGATCTTGCGCTTGAGTCCACGTGGCTTCTTCCGCTTGGGCTCCATTTCCACCATGGGCAGCATGGACGACATGGATGGTGTTGATGACTTTGCACCATGTCCGCCACTCGGATACAGGCCCTCGACCAAGCCGTCGTCCATGGCCAGCTCATGGGCCTCATTCTCCTCGCGCTGCCTCTTCCGCTGCTGGATGGCTCCCCAGCGACTACCTCCGCTCTTGCCCATTGCTGCTTCCAGATACAAGACGTCTCTGTACTAGCGCTGGCGTAGAGGGGTGCGAGTTGGGTCTTGTCGCCTCCGGAGATGGATGGATGGGCGCAGCTCTGCCGCTGCCACGGAGCGTCAAGGCCGATCTGGTGGGTTCAATGCGTACGCGTACGTCCTCAAACGGGGGAGTGGGGCAGAAGAAGAGGGAGGGGGGGGGGGATGCGGATGCGACTACAGCTCTTGTGCCTGCGCCATGGCGTCGGTTCCGAGCGGGATGAGACCAAAGGCAAAGACCGACAAGGGCGGTGGCGATTGTGCCGGCGATTGTGCCGGCAAGGACGGCCGGCGAGACGCCCGAGGCTGCACCCTGGGTCTTGGTCAGCAGCTCCTCATCCGAGGTGGGTGTATGGCGAGTCTTGTTGGCCTTTCTTCGCTTGCCACCGTGCGGCTTTGATCGGGCTTGAGACTCCGAGCTCTTTGTCGGCTTGGCGGGCTTGTCGTCCTTTGCTGGCGCGGGCGCCGAGTCTGGCACCGGCTCGGGCGCCGAGTTGGGCTTGGACTTGGGCTCAGGTTTGGACTTGGGCTCAGGTTTGGACTTGGGCTCGGGCTCGGGCTCGGACACGGTCTGGGTCTGCGGCATCAGCGAGGTGGTGCGCAACGGGGCGGCGGCGGGTGGGCCGGCGACGCCGGCGACAAGCAACGCTTCCAGCGCCGAGATGACCTTGTCGGGTGCGGCCGGGAGCTCGGGCGAGCCGGCACCCACCAAGACGCCCGAGGGCGGGGTGAAGCCGACCGGCGAGACCGGGCGCGATTCGGGGTCGTCGGCCTCGGGGTCCCAGTGCTCGGCGGGGGCGACAGCGTCGTCAAGGACAAACGCGAGGTCGTCAGCGCCGAGCTCGACCTCGATGTTGCTCTTGTTGAGCGTGCTAGACGAGGACGTTGCGAGGACAAGGCCGTCGCGGGCCGACGTGATGTTGGGTAGCGAGCGGGCCGAGCGGGCAAGCGGAGAGGCGGTACCGGAGGCGGATGGACGGGCCGACGGTGAAGCCACAGGCGAGGTGGCCACATCTTTCTTCTTCTTGGTCTTCCAGGCCGGAGTCGCTAGCGCCTTCAGCATCAGTGCGTCCAGCGAAGACGTTCGCTCCGGAATGGCCGAGTCGAGACCGGCGGCTGCACGGAGGTCTGCCGCCGACGGCGGCTTGTCGCGCGATAGCAGCTCAGCCACCACACCGTCGGCGCGCGGGGTGCCTGCCGTTGGCGTGGCGGGCTTGGCCTTGGACTTTGTCTTGGACTTTGCCTTGTCCTTGTCCTTTTTCTTCTTCTTGTCCTTGTCCTTGTCCTTGTCCTTGTCCTTGTCCTTGTCCTTGGTCTTCGACTTGGACTTGGCGGGAGACGCCGAGCTCGAGCTCGGCGACGAGCCTAGCGGGCTTGTAGACACAGGATCAGCGGGAGCGGGGACCGAGATCGGAAGCTCGCGGGGAATGTCCACCGGCTTGGTTGGCGAGCGGCCGGAGACGCGGACCGGCGGTGGGTTGGCACGCTTGGGCGAGATCGACGCTGCACGGGGAGCCGGAGGGACAAGCGAGTTGGCAGTGCGGCCGCGCGGCGGCGGCGACGTCGAGTCGTCACCGAGGCCACGGCTCCGCACGACCGGGCCAGAGACGGAGGCTCGCTTGCCAGTCCTCGGCCCAGCGGCGGCACCGGCGGCGTGGTTGTGGCGGCGGGCCGAGCGCTTGTTGAGCGGAACAAAGTTCTTGTTGTAGGCGAGTGCGGTCTGGTTGACCTGGTAGGCGAGGGAGACGCGCTTGGGAAGGCGGAAAAGGGACGGGAATACGGCTTCCATTTCTGCAATCTTGTCCTTGGCCGAGGCGTTGGTCGTCCAGATGGCGATCGAGTTGTACTTGGGCCGGATCTGGAGGACAATGCCGCACAGCTCCTCGCAGTGTGGAATGGTGGAGCCAATGACGGCGAGGACGACCTCGGCCCAGACCCACTTGATGATTTCGCGGCCGGAGCCGTCAGGGAAGCGGATGACAAACCGCCCGCCGTTGGTGTTTGCGGGATCCTCCCACAGCGGCTTGATGCCTGCCTTGAACATACGCAGGTTGCAGTAGGTCGGCAGAAAGTGGACGTCGACCATGTTGTTCCAGTACCGCCAAAATCCCTGGATGGAGCTAAATGTGCCCCACGACTTGATCGAGGCCTCGTACGCCTCCTTGGAGATGCCCTTGGGGCAGCACTCGTCAAACCAGAACTCCCATTCAAAGGCGAGCGCCATCTCGGCCTGCTCACTGGCGGCGAGCTGAAGGTCGACGTCGGCGTCGTCAGTTCCACCGGCGGTGGCGGCGTCACCGTCGGCGCTCGGCGGCTCGGGCCGGATGATGACCAGCTCGCCGTCAACCGCCTCGCTGTCAGGCGCGTCGACCGCTGCTGTTCGGGTCTTGCCGGTCGTAGGGTTGAACACCAGACTCAGCTTCTGCTGCGACGAAAATGAGATGGTTCGCTTGCGGCGCGGCGGCGCGCCACTGTCGTCGCCGTTGCCGTTGTCCTCAGTCACCCGCAGAAGGTGGTCCTCGAGGCCGGGTCGCGACCGCGACCGTGAGTTTGACTTGGAGCGCGAGCGCGAGCGCGATGCCGAGATCGACCGCGACGGCGACTGCGAGGTTGCCGCTTGCGGCTCGACATGCACAAAAGGAGCAAAGTTGGAGACCTTAGTCCGCGACTTGGAGCCCGATTGCGATCGAGTGCCCGAGCGCGAACGCGAGCCACCAGACGACCCGTCGCGCCGCCGACCGCGTCCACCGCGACCGTTGCGGCGAGGCGGCGGCTGCATCTGGTCGAGCTTGGGCAGCGGCAGTGCGCCAGTGTTGGCCCTCGGCCGCTTCGTCACGACCGCCCGTGTGCCAGTGGCCGACCGCGTGGCCGGGGCGCTGCCATCCGGCCGCGGCGGGAGCGCAAACGAGCCGGAGCCAGTCCACGACGAGCGCTTGTTCCTCTGTCGCCTCATCTTGCGATCTGCCAACGACATGACCTTGCCGCTACTCTCACCACTCGGCTTGACCGCGGCTGTCTGCGGAATGCCCGGCGGCGGGAGCTGCGGCTCGAGAACAGAGTCGACGGCCACGGAAGCCCATGACGGTTTTGATCCGCCACTACCAGCCTTGCCACTCATATGCAACGGATACTGCCAGTACAGGGGACAGAGGAGGGGATGGGATGGGATGGGATGGGAGGGGAGGGGAGGGAGGGAGAGGCGACCAACAATCACGCTCACACGGACAGGTGCGCGCTCTCACTCTCACGCACACACACGTTGCGAGTGTGTGGGGAGGTACACACAAAGTTCTTCACAGGTGAGGTTGAGGAACGTGCTGGATGAGGAGATGAGGGGGTGGGGGGTGGGGGGAGGGGGGAGGGGGTATGGGTACGGGAGTGTGAGTGGCGCACGTGACATGGCGTGAGTGTGAGGTGGGAACGATAAATGGGTGTGGGGGAGAAGGGGGGGGGGAAGAGAGAGAGAGAGAGAATATATGTGTGTGCGTGTGTGTGTGTGTGTGTGTGTGTGTGTGTGTGGGGAACCCGTACTGGTCCTACTGGGATCGCTACTCCCCTTTGGAAATGGTACACTGTCTGTATGGCTGCATGCGAGTGGCTCGGTGGGGAGGAGGAGGGTGGGAGGGAGTATTCAAAGTGGCCAACGAATAATGATGAGAGTCACCACTGCGGAAGCAAAGTGGTGGTGCGAGCACGGTCCATGCGACCGACCGAAGCCAAGGTGGTGACAGCGAGGAGGAATGGGGAA